ATATATATATATATATATATATATATAAATAGATAGATAGATAGATATATAAATCTGTTGCAAATTATACTAAAATGTGGCGTAGATTAAATTGCATTGGTAAAGCGACTTTAATAAGTCTGTATTTAAAATGTATAATGTAGAAGTCGAGAAGTAATGTATTGGGAAAAATGCTGTCGAAGTACATTTAATAATTAAATACAAATTATCACATTATATTTTAAAATCATCTTTAGCTTTGGCTCAGATTATAATGATCAAATCGATACATAAATCTCTTTAAACTGAATCTCTGTAATTGAATGATATCCATCATTTTGATAATAGCTTGTGTTTTAAATGTTGTAGAACAATTTCACACCATTAACACGCACTCGACGCCACCAAAAGAGACAAAAATCAATAACTTAACACCATATTAAAATATCAAGTACTACTGAAGTTCACGAAGGAGGTTTAGTAATTATTTGAAGTAGACAACTTTCATTCGTATCGTTTTAATTACAAATTTTCGTGACCTTTTTAGGTCATTGACCCGCACGCCGTTTTAAGATAAAACAAGGTGTTACGCGTATTTTTGTTCATATTTCGAAGGTTTAGTCTTACCTTGGTAGTGGTGTTATTATGCAGCATAAAATACTACATCTAACACTTTAATGCTACGCTATTTCAAAATATTGAACACAACAAATAAGAAGTTAAATTTATTCTAGACTTATTGTGATTAGTCAAACTATGTTAAAAATTTGAAATGGGACAATGGTAAATATCAGTGTGAGAAATATAGTGCGTTCTAATATGATCAATGCTGTTGATAAAATATCGAGGATTTTATTAAGTAACAAATGTGATAAATTCCGTTATAAGAAATAGCATTAATACCACATCGAGCCATTTAATTAATACTTAAATTAGAAGCGTCATGTATACAACTGGAAGCGAGTGGTCGGACACCAACATGACCACAGTGGGTGTGGTCGTACCTCTTGTCAATCATGAACTGGTGGAGATCTTCATGAAAGTGAACGTCGAATACCTAAACCTGGTGTTCTCGGTGTTTGGTGTATTCGCCAACACCCTCAACGTGGCCGTGTTCTTGAAGCAAGGGTTCACCGACAACGTCAACATCAGCCTCTTCGCCCTGTCCGTGTCTGACCTGGGTTCGCTTCTCACCTCAGCGATCTTTAGTCTTACCTGCAATGCCGGGTTTGTGGCGATGACGTCAATAGAACCGTTTGGGTTCCAGAGCGTTGTCGCAGCATTTCCGCGTGGTGTGTTAAGCCGTGTGTCCAGCTGCGTCACTGCTTACGTCACGTTTGAGAGATGCGTCTGCGTGGTTATGCCCTTTAAAGTAAAACGTGTTCTCACGCCACAAGTTACGATTCTTGTTATGTTTTCTATCTACGCCGGGCTTGGCTTGACTCTAATTCCAGTTTATTTACAAATGTACCTGGGTTGGAGCTACAACCCGTACGTCAATAGGACAACCCTCGGACTACAACTGACCAACTACGTAGGTCTAGCAGACGTCAACGTCTCTCTCTCCATCCACACTGTAACTCAAATCGGTTCTTTTTTCATGATCATTGTCTTCACAATCATCCTAGTTTTTGCGTTGACAAAAAGATCAAAATGGCGTCAAAAGTCATCGTCGGTAGACAGAACAACAACCAATAAAAAAGGTTCTCAAACTCTGATTCTGATCACCAGCATGGCCGTCATCTACATCGTCTGCTACCTGCCGAGTATGGTCATCCTGTTGACAGGACTAATTGAGCCGAAATTCGGAGCGTTGGGTCAAGAGGTCAACTTGTACCTGGTGTTCATGTCGTTCAACATCGCCTTAGAGTCTCTGAACTCCTGCGTCAGTGTGTTCTTGTACCACAGGATGAGTAGAAAGTACAGAGCCACGCTACGACAGATGTTCTATACCCCCTGGTCTGTAATGTGCGGGACAGACGTACACATACATAAAGTACCAAGCTTGCTACTAACACCGAGTGGTCGTTCGATAGAGACCGTGATCAGTAATTGATAGGTTCAGGGTTCAAATAATCAATCTATTAGGTTAAGAGGAGGAGGGCATAGGGAATCAATTTTGCGCCCCTATCCCCCTATTCATCTAATTTTCTTACTTTGGAGAACCCCCATCCCCTATTCCTCCCAAGATTAGAACATTTAAGGCTCTTTTAACAAGTCACTGTTTTTTTCAATATTATTTTCATTCACTACATTTAGAAATCAGCCCGTAAACACAAATTGCAGTTAAGTTTCTTTCGCTTTCCGCAGTTCAGTGCAGCACAAAATGAGATTTTTATTTTATTTTCCTACTCTGTTCGGCACCCCCTAAGGTTGTAGAAAGTTCCCTTTCTATAGGGCAAGTGAAGTAGAGTTCACTTGTTTCTGTGACCTCGGCATATGAAGAGATAATGTGGTCAGCACTATGCCCAGCCGCCTTTACTTTTGGGTCCACTGACTTGAACCCGGAATCGAACTGGAGACTTATGGGTTAGCAGTCCGGCTCTCTACCGATATAGACAACTCCTTCCCTTCTATGGTTGAGCGGATCCCATTTGACCCAAGGTGATTGTACCCATGGCCTCATCTGGATCAAGTACCCATACAATTAAAAGAACATACTACAAAATGCAACTCATTATAAGGTCACGAAGCCGATTATACAGCCTTTTTAAATTTACCAAAAAAGTATATGTTGTGGTATTCTTTTTCTCAGTGAGACGTTAAGCCACCGGATGGATATTCATTAGTTGGATTATCACATTATGAAAAACTACTTTATGAACGTAATTTTACAAAAACTTCCTATACTTATGACTCTTTTTGTAATTTTGATAATTCTTGATTCTTAATGTCATTTTTTGGTGTTAATTTCTTGTGGTGTATTTATGAAATAATTGAGATTTATTTAATAAAGGCAGAACGCAAGTAAAATGGTGTACAAGAAGATGAGATATAATAAACTATTTAAAAAAAAAATATTAGCACGAGTGGGGTTCGAACCCACGCGGAAATAATTCCATTGGATCTTAAGTCCAACGCCTTAACCACTCGGCCATCGTGCTGTTGTTCTGCAAAATATTTAATTGCAAGTCATATCTAACTAAACATTACTTTTTTATTGTCAAATAAAAGCGGCGTTACTATTCTAAAACCGTGCGAGATACTCAGCACAATGAACATATTTTACGAAATAGCAGTAGTGCCTATAACACGAGCCACAACATATAATATATCTAGCCTTGCAGGTGCTGATTTTTGAAGGACAAAATCTCTCATTACGCCTACTTTACTGCATGCTTTTAGCAACCAATGTTGTGTTGGTAAAAATACAATTGTGTATCGCAAGAGCAATTTTAACAACCAATTGAATGTTATAAAATGAATTTGTGAATAGCATGACAAGCAAGATGATGATAAAAGATATCACTGAAACACAAATAGTAGGTGAGACAATGTATATATATAATTCTCTTCTGGGAGCCGTTAGAAAATAAAATACTTAAAAAAAACTTCAAAAAAAAACCACGTTTTTCTTGTGGACTAAAAAGTAGAAAATACATTTTTCTTCCGACCCTAGGGGATCTACCAATGGCTGCTCGTAGATTTTGTTCATACATTTGATGACAAAAAACGTGGGTACGTTCACCATCAAATTTCCCGACCCATCTGCCCGACCCACGTTTTTTGTCATCAACGCGACGTACTAACCACTATACGATCACGGCCAGCGCGCTCACATCAATTGGGGCCGAAGTAACTGTGTCAATAGGCCTCCAGTCTTGTCGGTATCTTTAGAAATCATGTCCTCAATTTTATGGTCCTTGGGGCGTAATTTAATTAAGCTAATTTAGGTCTCTAATTGCTAGTTTTTATGATTGCATCTGAAATTTTAGGCGAAAATAGCCTGCATGCCAAATTTCAGATCTCTAGAGCAATCAGAAGTGGGCTAATTTTCGATGTCAATTTTTAACAACAAACATCCAAACAAACAAATAAACGCGAAGCTGAGTTAAGAAAAACGTGTTAACAAGCTGCAAGCGCGCCTTACAGTCCCCTTTCTTCCTCTCTATCGCTACCAACCTCACCCCCTCACATGGTCTGGTGAGCTGTGGTTCACGCTGTTTACATTTTACAATCGTAGAGACGGGTTTGGTGACGGCTATTAAGGGCAGATAATTTAGTTTGAAACGATTTTAAACTTAGAGGAGGTAACTAAGAGGAGGCTGCTTTCACGTGGGGGGGGGGGGGGGGGGGGTTAGTGTTTTTAAGCAAATATTTTCAATGGCAGCATTGGTACTGTCGAATTCACAAATTATGAATTACTGAATAGTAGAACAAAACAACAACTAAATAGCGGCGTATGATACACCGCGGGTCGGCTCGTTTATTTAAAAAGATCAAGTTTTTAAATATGTAAATGTATTCTGATTAATAAAGCTATACCAAACAATGGTCAATAGGCAAAAATATTTACAGCACAATGTAAAAAAAAAGTTTTTCCTAACTAACTATATAAGTGGACAAGTATAAAGGAGTTGTTTTATGCAGGCAGACATATATAAAAATAGGCATCTTAATCTTTGAAGAATTTAGCGTGTGTTCATTATAAGATGTGTTCATTGTCTTTTCTATAACGACTATCTTTCTTCTTCTTCGTTCTTAATTTTTAGTGTTGGGAAGGATCGAGCCTTATCTGCCAGAGGGTTTAAACTCGAGACTTTTTTTTTCGAATTTATCAACCATGAGCTTTGCCGACTCGACCATGCTTCCATCACAATTAAGAATTACGTGTCAACTGGTTGTGCGCCATTGAGGCCGTTGACTCCGATTTCAGCCTGCTTGTCCAACCAAGAACAAACTACAAGGCAGCAGTTGTTTGATTTTGGAGTTGTCTCTAATAGAAGAGTTGCTGTCCCCAGATAACGAGCCTCATCTGCCGAGGGTTCGAACTCAAGGCTTTTTGGTTTAGCAACCATGAGCTTTACCGACTCGACCACGCCGACCCCCTTAACGTCCATTAAAAGTGCCCACTTCGATGAATATTTACAAATATTTAGTTAAGACAGTGTTATCGTTAATCATTGAGTACATTCCCTTTGTCTCCATCAACTTCACCAGTATATTCATTAATCGATATTAAATTACATTAAACAATTGAATTTATATTTTAAAGTATTTCCTAACATGTTTAATGACGCTTCATCACTTTAGTGCCACTATACATGACACTTCTAAAAGATTCTCACGGTCCACTGATGGGGTATATAATCTAGCAGGTTTTCTTTCCTGTAGGTAGCTACTGCTAGTAGAGTTCCAACTAGTGCTGACGTCACAAAGAGTCGAGTGAACAGGGAGGGTCGACGGTTCTCAAGTTCTGGCAGTTGACGGGTCTCAAATGGTTTTCTGATGCGGTCCATCTGGGGTGAAAGAAGAGTTACATTAATCAAAATTCGCAAAACGGTTAATTTAAAGAATAATAACATAATCCAAAACTCGGAACACGATTAATTTTAAGAAGAATTACATTATTCAAAACTTTAAACACGGTTAATTTTAAGAAGAATTACATTATTCAAAACTTTGAACACGGTTAATTTTAAGAATTACATTATTCAAAACTTGCAACACGTTTAATTTTTAGAAGAATTACATTATTCAAAACTTTGAACACGTTAATTTTTTAAATAAGAAAAAAAACAACTCAAACTAAGAGTACGTTGATAAACGTAAAGCCTTTTAAAGTAAGCAAATTGTTTTAACACTGAATGTAAAGCTCCTGACTTACATAAAAATAACAATGTAAGGCGTTAATTACATCCTATATTAAAGCTATTATTCTGTATAAATTATAATGTAAGAGATGTTTGATGCATTTCCTGGTTTAATAGCAGTTCACGTGATAGCCTGCATACAGTGTACAAGGGCCGATAAATAGCAAAAAGCTTACAACCTACAGGTAGCCTATGGTCAAAGGCCGATACATAGCCAACAGTCTACAGATAGTCAAAATAAAGTCTAGATTGGGGACAGCCATAAACAGTCTAAAGACAGCCTAAACCAAAGATTTAAAAAGAAGCCATTATAAGAGCAAGGTTTCCTCCACAACTTACCACAGTGAAGATGGCCTGTACAACTTACCACAGTGAAGATGGCATGTACAACTTACCACAGTGAAGATGGACTGTACAACTTACCACAGTGAAGATGGACTGTACAACTTACCACAGTGAAGATGGCCTGTCGAGCCCCGGGCCACGGGTTGGGGCCATGAAGACGGTACTGGTAGGGTACACCTGGGCCAGTCAAAACACGCCAGAACAGAGGGGGGTCAGTCAGCAGCAGTTTGACTGAAAATGTGTTGATTAAATGGCTAGAAATATAGATGGCATTTGGGTAGTTGTAGTGTTAGATCTGGAGGGTAATTTGTGTTTAGTGTTCTGGTAGTGATTGAAGTTAAAGTAGTTTTATTTGAATTATTAGCTAGATTAATCGCATTGTTTGGCTAACCCAATTCAAATAGAAAACTGCACAGGATATAAAAATGTGGTCGGTACATACGACACATAAACTAGCGCTACTCGGTGACCCACACAAAGTAATTCATTTTAGGCTATCCAGTTAGACTCTCACCCACCCAAGTTAAACTTAGACTCACCCAGGTTATGCTGACGCCCACCCAACTTGGACTCACCCAAGCTAAACTTAGACTCACCCAAGTTAGACTCACCCAAGTTAGACTTAGACTCACCCAAGTCATGCTGACGCAGACTCACCCAAGTTAGACTTAGACTCACCCAAGCTAAACTTAGACTCACCCAAGTTAGACTTAGACCCACCAAGTTAGACTTACAGTTAGGCTTACAGCAACTCAAGTTAGACTTAAACTCACCCAAGTCAGACATAGACTCACCCAAGTTAGGCTTACAACCAGTTAACTCGGCCAGCTCATCCATATAGGGCAGCCAGTCCACCTGAATGGTGTGACGATCAGTGTGGACATACCTCGCCTGGAGTGCTCGCTCTTTGGCCGCGATATCTTTTTTCATGTTGGCTGGCGAGGGTAGTGTGATCTCCCCCTTAAATACACAGCAATTTTTTTTTTATATAGCCGATCTAGACTAATAAATTAGAGATCTATTTGTTTCAAAGCTATTACGTTTTTAAAACGATCCTCTAAAACCTAAGGATAAAAGAGTTTTAAAATAGCGACAATTTTCACACCATTCATTCAGATAAGCCTGATGAATCCACCGGTAAAAATGTCTTACAGAAAATCTAAATCCAGAAACATTGTTCCCACCTTTTTCTCAACAAAAGACTGTGTAGTATACCTGACATCTACCCGATTGGACCTACCTTAAAGACCATAGTACACGTATCAACACCTGTCCTGACCCACCTTAAAGACCATAGTACACTTGTCATTCAACCTTTCCTGATCTACCATAGGGCACATCTCATAAATCTGTCACTCATCGTCAATCTACCTGTCCCCACCTGTGTCCCCACCTTTGACCCCACCTGTGACCCCCACCTGTGACCCAACCTGTGACCCCCACCTGTGACCCCACCTGTGACCCCCACCTGTGACCCTACCAGTGACCCTACCTGTGACCCCACCTGTCCAGCCTCACCTTAAATACTCTAGCAGCGAGCCGACTCTGCAGTTCTGCGATGGGAAACATGGCACCCAGTGGCTGGCAGACGGCGAGAAAAGCGATCGTCTGCTTGGGCAGGTCAGGTAACCACATATACTTGTACAGCTCCACCTTGTTGTGTCTCACCTCTAGTACACCTTTCTCCTGCTCACACAAGGGACATAATCTCACATTCAGTACACCGTGTTACTTCACACACAAGGGACATAATCTCACCTCTAGTACACCTTTCTCCTGCTCACACAAGGGACATAATCTCACCTCTAGTACACCTGCTCACACAAGGGACCTAATCGCACGTCTAGTACACCTATTTCTTGATCACACAAGGGACATAATCTCACATTCAGTTCACCGTGTTACTGCTCACACAAGGGACGTAATTTCACGTCTAGTACACCTATTTCTTAATCACACAAGGGACATAATCGCTCACCAAGTACACACTAATAAATAGATTAAACAATAATCTTCACGTTGTCATGAAATTAACTTCTATATTTGATTTTACATCCAAGTCCTACATGTTCATCCGTAGTTAACAATTGGTTTTATAATCACGCAATCTTATAATTCACTTGTGTATAAAATTTACTTTATTTCCCATTTCGATTATACAACTTTCATGTTACCTAAATTATACTTAAGTTTGCCTTCAATTTAAACGTCCAAATAAAATGCATATACGGTGAATTGGCATTTGGAGGTATTGTACAGTATTATTTATATTTTCGGCCAGTTTAAATCAGGTACACATAAGAAATGGACATATTTTTAAATAAAAACACTTCATAAAGACTAAAGTTTCGCGAAACGGACTTTGAAAATCTGTATTAGAAGTCCTTAGCCCTAAAGTTCAACCCTTTCATCCAATAAGTAATTGAGGTCACAGAGATAATCAATGCTGAGCCTAAATTTAAAAAATGTAATCTAATTTAAAATGAGGTTGGATGATTAATAAATCTAGAAAAAAAAAATTATTTAATTAAATACGTCTTACGATAAATGGATATTCCACTTTATAGCCGGTAGCAAACACAACCAGATCAATTTCTTCCTCGTGGGTTCCGTCTTCAAATGTCACACCTTTGGTATTGATGTATTGGAAAAATATTTAGTGACAGTAAATATATGACTGTAAATAATAAATTGATTTATTTATTGAAAACTAATATAGTTATAACGTAATCGGAAGTAGTACATTAATTAACCCTTCTCTCAATTCTCTTCGGCAACGTCCAATCAAATGGAAACGATTTTACCGATATCACGGTTAGCAAATATTCTCAGGTGGGGAGTGATTATCATGGAGGTAATTAATGAGTAATTATTTCATATGTGGTGATGCGCAATGAACAGGGTATCTAACCGAGAATGGTAATGTCAAAGACCTTACTTAACCACCAGAGTGTCTTTTAGACAAGGTGCCTCTAAAGCTTCTGATATTCTTCCCTAAATATTCAACGCTTAATGCTTCTAAACCTTTGCATTTAAAATTGCATATATATATATATATATATATATATATATATATATATATATATATATATATATATATATATATATATATATATACATATACATAATATGTATATATAAATAGAAATAATTTTTTTCAGGTAATGTATTACACATTATAACGGCTATGAAAAGATTCATGACCACTACCTTTCTCCGTGAAGCTCTGTATGTTGGGCTTGACCTTGACCATGCCAGCGGCGATCCTATTGGGCAGTTCATCATTGACCGTCGGGTGGGTGGCGTCAGGCTCGTGCACGGGAGTCAGGTGGTACAGGTCGTGGCAGAACTTCTGGTTGAGTTTGTCCTTCATCAGCTTGATTCTATAGGACCTGGGCAGCCAGCTTTGTATGTAGTAGCTGAGGCGGACGTGGAAAAAGACATCTAGAGGAAGGCCATTGTCTGCTAGTCGGTGAAGGATCCAGGCGCCTCGTCTTGTAGACAGAAACACCTGAATCAACGCGGAATTGACCTTTATAACGTAAACACTGATTACAATCGCCGTAGTTTCAGCGTAAACATGTTTTACGATCTCTTGAAAAAATTCAAGGCATTATGTTGCAATACACACATACAGTTACTACATAGTTCTATCCCATCTTATCTGTCACATATGAAAATAAATTCAAAAATGTAAGTATTTATTAACTAGTTTGGTACTATCACATCCTATTTGCACTATAGATAAATATATTATATTATATAAGTATTTACTAAGCCATTATGTACCACTTTCTTATATTTACTTTATTCTAAGCATTAAGGTTTTATTCATTCACATATATACTGTATGCAAATATCTCTTCCTATATCTATAAATAAGTAAATTAGAAATGTAAGTATTTACTAAGACATTCAGTACTACCTTCATATATTTACTTAGTTCCACAGAAATGTCGCCTCCAGAATTCCCTATTCCAAGAACCACTGCCTTTTTACCCTCCACAGATCGGACGTCTTTAAACTCTTTTGAATGCATGGTCTGAAAATATTGAGCAGATATGCTTATGTTAAAATCTGGATACCTATTCCTTGAAACGTTGTTGACTTTAAAAAATACAAGTTTTAATTTATTTCAGCGATCGATAATGCTTATGTGGATCTTGCCTATAAATGCTGTAGGCATTGTTATGAAAAGGATAGTTATGTTATTGTTGAGAGACAGTAACTGTGTACCAAGATGATGACTTAAGTTCCAAGACTTACCTTTAGCAAATGACCAAGCACCAAAACTTACCTTTAGCCAATGACCAAATATCATAGCTTACCTGTAGCCAATGACCAAGCGTCATAACTTAGCTATAGCCAATGACCAAGCACCATAACTTACCTTGCCTTTAAACTTGTCCAGTCCTGGAATAGACGGCAGGTTCGGTGCCCCGTGATGACCATTGGCCACAATAATAAAGTCGAAAACTTCTGTGGTCTCCTGGCCAGTTTTATGGTTTTTTAATCTCATTTCCCATCGGCCAGTGCTGAAATATTGAAATATATACTAACTAATGTCGTAATTTATTTCAATTAATGATATAATTTATTACAAATAAAACTGTAATCTGAAATATTCCAGAATGTAAGTACTGTCACATCGACACACGTCTGGATCAGTAGCTGGTGCATGAAGACATTCAGTCCAGGGATACATTTGGCCATTATTAAAACCGAAAGTCGGGACGGCATGGCCTAGAGGTAGAGCTTTAGACTGCTAACCTGAAAGTCTTCAATTCGAATACAGGTCAATGGACCGTCCATGAGTTAGGGAAAATAAAGACGGCTGCGAATAGTGTTGATCACATTATCCCTTCATATCCCGAGATCAAGAAACACAGGAATTCTACTTCTGCCCAATGGTCAAAGGAGGAATCTTTAGTTTAAAACCGAAAGTCAAGAGATCCGGTTACATCACGAGTCAATAATAGAACAACAATTTCATCAAGTTCTGATCAGGAAAACCCCAAGAAAACAAAGACAGCCTCTTATACATTTTCATACAGTGGCCTTAATTCATTATAGGATGTTATAGATTGAGATCTGATACGCTTACACAACGAATATTGGTCAGAATATCTCTAATCCCAACTTTCAAATCATAATCGTGAGCTACAAATTCTCGTAAACACAGAGTACGCATTCGTTTTCTTATTTTTAGAATTTAGGGCATTAAAGCAAGGTGGAGAAGAAGTAGTAAATCGACTTCATAAATTACTTAACTTAGTCTGGAACACAGGACAGATCCCAACCGACTGGAAGAAGGGCCTCCTTGTGATGTTGCCTAAGAACGGTGACTTATCTCAGTGTGGAAAATGGAGGGGCATTACCTTGTTGTCCATACCAAGTAAAGTCCTTACCAGAGTCATTTTGGACAGAATGAAAGAGGCGGTTGACCTTAAGCTTAGAGAGGAACAAGCAGGATTCAGGAAGGAAAGATCTTGTACAGATCAACTAGCCACTCTTAGAATTATTGTAGAGCAGACAATAGAATGGCAAGCCCCGCTTTACATCTGCTTTGTTGACTTTGAGAAGGCCTTTGATAGTGTGGATAGGCAAACAATATGGAATCTGCTGAGACACTATGGTGTACCTGCTAAATTAGTGGAAATAATCCAGCAACTTTACAATGGATTTTCATGTCAAGTTAGCCATGCAGGGAAACTGTCTAAAGAGTTCCAGGTCAATACAGGTGTGAGACAGGGATGTCTGCTGTCTCCCCTCCTCTTCTTGGTGGTTCTTGATTGGGTGACACGCACAGCCTATGCCAGTTCTGGAAAAGGTATTCAGTGGAGTTTGGAGATATTCTTGCCTTACTCTCGCACAGGCTACAGGACATGCAAGAAAAAGTTGATGCATTAGGAGCCATCTCGCAGCGCGTAGGTCTCAAGATCAACAAAGAAAAGACAGAAATGATGAGAATTAACAATAAACAGCAGGCTTCAGTGACAATAAACGGAAGACAGGTAAATGATGTGCAAGAGTTTGTCTACCTTGGCAGCAAGATCAGCAAAACGGGAGGCACAGAGGAGGACATACGCGCTAGAGTTAATAGAGCCCGCTGCGCTTTCACAGTCCTGCGACCCATATGGAAAAGTTCGGCCCTCTCCATTACCACAAAAATTAGGATATTTAACTCTAATGTCAAGGCAGTTCTGCTGTATGGAGCAGAGACATGGAGAGTCTCCAAGGCAAGCACAGCAAAGATACAGACCTTCATGAATAGATGCCTTAGGCAGATATTGAAACTGTGAATAGATGCCTTAGGCAGATACTGAAACTGAGATGGCAGGACAAAGTGCCGAACTTGGAACTATGGAGGAAAGCTAGGCAGGAGCCTATGGGTGTGCAAATAAGAAGGAGGAAGTGGCGCTGGGTGGGTCACACACTGCGAAAGGCTCACACAAATGTTACACGCCAAGCGCTTGACTGGAACCCCCAGGGAAAGCGGAAGAGAGGGCGCCCAAGACAGACCTGGAGGCGGAGTCTTCTTGAAGAACTGAAGCCAACAGGGATGTCTTGGGAGATGTCAAAATTAATCGCCGAGGATAGGAAGAAATGGAAGGAAATGGTGGAGGCCATATGCTCCATTAGGAGCAAAGAGGACTAAGTCAAGTAAGTCAAGTAAGAGCCGCTGTACCTGTTATAGGAGCTGTGTTTCTTGAGGTACATGACCTCTGTGTTTCTCTGGATGTATTTGTCCACACCAAAATGTTGGCTGTAATCCAAGAAATAAGCCTCCACCTGAGATTGAAAAAATAAAATAATAAGAAAATTATGTTAGAATGGAACACTTAAGTAGCGAGGTTTTGGTAAAATTATTTTACATTAACATTTCTTATTTTTAATTCCTAAGGGCCGTCTGTCTCGAATTTCGCTAAGTTTCCAAACTGTAATTTTAAAATTCAAATCAAGATATCATTATCGGCTCACACTTAAGGTTCTTTTTATAATTTATATCAATGTGTGCTATTACAGCTCAAGGAAAATGCAATATTTTTTCTTCTGCATATAAATAAATTACACAGTATTTATCTTTTGAATAATTTATTACATAACTTTTAAAGAGTTGTTTTACCATTGTCATTTGATATGATGCATGAACGACGTGTACATTTATAAAAAATAAATTACTAAACAGAAGAATGATTTTAATGAAGAACACGTAACGCCACAACCTACCAGAAGCGTAACGACCCCTCCCGGCGCCCGTGGACAAACTTTCAATTTGGCGCCCCCCTACCCCCCCCCCCCCCCATATATATTTTTATATTTATAATTCAAAACTGCAGCTAAAATAAGATTTTAATTTTTTTTCCCAACGCATTTTGGCGCCCCCAGGGTCGGCGCCCGGAGACATATGTACCCCCCAATCCGTCATTACGCTTCTGCAATCCACTCACATCCTCGTTGTGGCAAAAGTTGGGGTAGTAGTCTGGCATCGGGTAGTCTGAGAAGGCCATGAACTCCTTGCTGGTGTTGATGACCGTTGACCTGTTGACACAGGACTCATCCTTCCAGGTGGAGGTCTGGAACCAAACGACCAAAAGATTGCAGGCATTTAGAAAACAGTGAGGTGTTGAAGAAAGAATAGAGCATATTTTATATTTTTATGAATGGAATATCAGGAACACAAGAAAAATATTTAAAACAAAAATAAAAGAAAGAGATTTATGTAGAATACAGGAACTTGTAAAAGAAAATTCTTTCAGTTTTTTTTAGAAAAGTTTTTAAGAAATTCGATTTGATATCGTTTAAAGTGAGAACCGATTAATTATGGACTAATAAAAAAGACCAGCTAAACTTGTGCGAGAAATGTTTGAACCGATTGTAAAGGTTTAAAATAAAAACAACGGGGAAAACCCAATATTTTATTTTTTATCAGCAAAGTAGCGCTTGTGCTATTTTTTCATAGAACTGTTGTTAGTTTTGCTGACCTCAATCTAATGACACTTCTGATAGTGCTAATGTGCAATGAGATTAATCAAGTACAGAAGCAGACAGGTTCAACTATTATCTATAAGTCTAGGTAGCCTAGCGTCTAGATGGTTAACGTATGTCCAGGTCTGTCTTACATCTACCTTCTATAAATTATCTGTGGGTTTTTTTATTAACCGCATCTGAAAAATGACTCAACTGTATTTTGCTTTAAAGGGAGATGACTCACGTTTTCCTTGAAGCACCATAGACCACCGATAACGTCCCTCCTCTCGTAGCAGACGACATCAGAAAACCCGGCGTCCAGCAAATTTTTGACGGCTGTAATGCCGGACGACCCACCTCCAATGATACCGACTCTCCCAGACATGGTGGGGCTCTCTCAGAGGGGAGACTGGGGAGTAATGGAGGGGGGGGGGTGGGTTAGGAAAACCTAGGAGTGTCTATCTCAACGGGGAGACTAGATAGTAATGGGATGGTGTTATATATATATATATATATATATATATATATATATATATATATATATATATATATATATATATATATATATATATATATATATATATATATATATATATATATATAAGTGGACATTGTCTCAGTTGGGGAGGGGGGGGGTGGGGGTGGGGGTGAGGGGACTAGCAAATCGTGACATTTTGTGGGTAAACAAGTTAACAAAAACTGTCTAACGAAGCGTGTCGCAGGATCTTTAACGCATGATTGATAAAGGATGTAAAAGATTCAGGGGTTTGTTGTATATAGGTGAAAACAAGTATTAGAATATATGTGTGTAGTTTATAAGCATGTGTATACATGTAAACGTACATACATCTAAACACACAAACACATACACGAAGTGAATACGAATATAGGGAAATAAAAGGTGATGCGCACATTATAATAAAAAAATCATAGGTACTAATCATTAGATTTGTACCTACCATAGTACATTTAGTATAGAGCATTCTTAAAATGTTCAACACTTGATATAAAATACTATTTCTCTGAACTCACACCCTAATGTAAGTCAATACACAATTTGATATTCACAAAAGTTTTTTTTTAAAAACAAAACAGAAGAATAAGCATTGAATTCATGTAAAGACATCTGTACTGTGAATGAAAGCTAGAAAGTGTAACATAGTATAAAATATTCTAAATAGAGAAATATGGCTAAAGTAAGCTTAAATAAAATCAAAGACAGTGTTGTATAACAGAGCGCTATACCATACCCTTACCACTAATAACACTAGGAGAGACAACTCCAAAAATCAAACAACTACTGCCTTGTAGTTTGTTCTTGGTTGGACAAAGGCTATGGAAAAAGCAGACTGAAATCGGAGTCAACCGCCTATACGACGCATAACCAGCTGACACGTAATAATTTTGTGTTGGAGGGAATCTCTTCCAATACTAAAATTCAGAACGAAGAAGAAGAAGAAAACAAGCCTAATGATATCATGTATATAATTAACATCTACCGCTCACTGTGTTGACTATACACGCTACTTACCTTGCTTATATAACTACAACACCACACGCGGTTTTGAATCACAAGATATTCTACACTCGTCAAAATAACTCAACATATGTCCAAACCTAACACAGTCAATTTTAATTATTCCAAACAAATATGTTGTACCGAAGTTCTTTATTTATTTGATCTAATTCCCCTGAACTACTAGACAGCTGTTATCAGCTGTTTTATTTAACCTTGACATCAACTAGCACTAAAGTTTTCAAACCAGTACACTTGCTATATAGATGATCACTGTGTTCCTGTAAAAAAAAGTTGTGTTCCAGTTCAGGAACTGTGTGAGGCGTGTTGCTAAATTTAGCGGAAGACCTGAGATCGGATGCTTACACGCGTGGGCTTTTTTTCTACAGTCCACCTAAAAAAAAGTTCTCACATTGCTAACCTGGATTTTTCACACACCCCCATCCCTTCCACAAACATATTTTTAAAAGACGTATTCCTGTATATCTACTCGCCTCCCCTCCTTCACACTTTAGATATTTCCTATTGCTGAAAGCGCTATAAAATCTCTATTAAAATTAAAAAATTAAAAAAAATCTTGATATATTTTTATTGTAATTATATATAAAGAAACAAAAAATAGTTCTAACTTAACATTTTTATCTTCTCACAACCCGATACCCGATATTCCTTCTCATTTTCGATCACTGTCACGAAAAAAAAAAGTCGAATAGCCTCCTTCCCCCAAATAAACACACCTATATAGTTTTATTGCAGCTTATGAGGCACTGTGAATAAAATGAAGCATTACATGCGATAGCCAATACATCAAATAACACTAACAAAGTTAACTCTCTTGAATATTTTGCAAAGCCTAGCCTCTACAAATGTAGCACACTAAAGTCAAGCCTCTAGAAAAGTAGCACACTAAAGTCAAGCCTCTACAAATGTAGCATACTAAAGTCAAGCCTCTACAAATGTAGCACACTAAAGTCAAGCCTCTACAAATGTAGCATACTAAAGTCAACCCTCTAGAAATGTAGCACATTAAACTCAAGCCTCTACAAATGTAGCATACTAAAGTCAACCCTCTAGAAATGTAACATACTAAAGTCAAGGCTCTAGAAAAGTAGCACATTAAAATCTAGCCTCTAGAAATGTAGCACACTAAACTGAAGCTCTAGAAATGTAGCACACTAAAGTCAAGCCTCTAGAAATGTAGCACACTAAAGTCTAGCCTATAGAAATGTAGCACACTAAAGTCAAGCCTCTATAAATGTAATATTCTTAAGTCAAGCCTCTACAAATGTAGCACATTAAATTCAAGCCTCTAGAAATGTAGCACACTAAAGTCAAGCCTCTAGAAATGTAGCACACTAAAGTCAAGCTCTAGAAATGTAGCACATTAAAGTCAAGCTCTAGAAATGTAGCACACTAAAGTCAAGCCTCTAGAAATGTAGCACACTAAAGTCAAGCTCTAGAAATGTAGCACACTAAAGTCAAGCCTCTAGAAATGTAGAACATTAAAGTCAAGCCTCTACAAATGTAGCACGCTAAAGTCAAGCCTCTAGAAATGTAGCACATTAAAGTCAAGCCTCTAGAAATGTAGCACATTAAAGTCAAGCCGCTAGAAATGTAGCACACTAAAGTCTAGCCTGTATAAATGTAGCACATTAAAGTCAAGCCGCTAGAAATGTAGCACACTAAAGTCTAGCCTGTATAAATGTAGCACATTAAAGTCAAGCCTCTAGAAATGTAGCGCACTAAAGTCAAGCCTCTAGGTTTAAATCTAGGAAGTAAACTACTATCTCATTGTTTAGTATTTAGCATGCCAGATCACAAACGTGTGTGACTTTCTATATAGTATTTAGTATGCCAGATCACAAACGTGTGTGACTTTCTGTAAGTCCCTATTACCTTCTGTCCGTCAACCTAGTTTGTCGACCTGTGCACTATCAGCCTTCCGCTTCTTATTTTTTTATGTGCGTCTTAGCAATACTCGATAGCACACAGGGGGAAAATGTGCTTTAAAACACAATGATATGATTGTATGTTGACATTTGTTGTTGCGAGAAGAAGGTAAAAGTCAACATTAATCAACTCAGAAAAAGCTCAACACATTTTTCATTGTGTTTAGTGGGTTTATTGACATTTTAAAAACTACTCCAAATGTACATAAGTATATACTGTAATATAGCACTGTTTAGATACAATAATACTTTTGCTTTGAACTGTAAGCAAGTATTTGAATACAATAAAACAAAAGAATAAAATTGTAAACATCAACATTGTGTTATATGATAAGTTAAACTTTTGCTAAACTATTGTTAAACGTTTGTATATTGATCCCAAGCTTGATGCGCTGATCATAGACATGAAGCTGCTCTAAGAAAATAAAACGTTGTCCAGTTAAGCAGCATTCCTCAATAGCTGGTAAAGTCCTGTACTAAATAGTTCTATCATCAAATCACCGCTTCAATATTTTAACGTGTTATTATCAATCTATTTTTATTGCTTCACCGTCTATAGTGATGGATGTTATAAAATATATAGATGTTTTTAATGTAAATATTTACTCATCATATAGCCTATTTATGATAAACAGAAAACATGAGATGTTTTAAAAGCTCAGATTGTCCTTAGACGAGGTATATAATCCAGGATGTTTTCTTTTTTGTAGGCAGCGACAGCAAACACAGCCCCAATCAGTGCCGACGTCACAAAGAGCCTCTTGAATAACGAGGGTTTCCTCCCTTCTCTCTTGGGTAGTGGGCGGGTCTCAAACGGTTTCTTGATGCGGTCCAGCTAAAGGAATATTTGATGGTGTCAACACAAAGTAAAAGATTCAAAGATTGTTTAAAAGTTAAAAGTTAATTTTTAAACAAAGTAAAATAGGAATTGAGAAAGTAAGGAAGTTTAATGATTATAGAAATGGTGAAAGTATAGGCCTAACTAAAAATAAAGTCAGCGACTTTTTTTCAGATTTTGTACGACGTATATAGTTGGTTCTTTGGCTACATTGCTAAAAGGAAAACTTTTAAGACCAAAACGTCTAGTACAAGATTTAAAACAAAATCGGAAAATGTTGTCATTTATTGTCAATCATGAAATAATGTCGACTGTTAATTAAAGACGTACTAATTTACTAATACAATATCGACGCTAAGTTAAGATGAAAATACAATAAGTCACATTTGATATGAGGATTAGAAAAGATATTTGATGATATTTCCCGCATTTTTCTGTGAGCTTTTTTTTTGTTTGTAGGGAATTCTCTCTTGTATGTTAACACGTATTAAATGTTAATCTGTGTGAATATTTAGCGCATTATTATGTCGTCAAGTACATTGACAAGCTTCACCTTAAGATTTGAGTAACGGAATAAAACACAGTTGGTAAGGAATGGCCCAACTTACTACAGTGAAGATGGCCTGTACAACTTACCACAGTGAAGATGGCATGTACAACTTACCACAGTGAAGATGGACTGTACAACTTACCACAGTGAAGATGGACTGTACAACTTACCACAGTGAAGATGGACTGTACAACTTACCACAGTGAAGATCGCATGTACCAATTACCACAGTGAAGATGGCCTGTACAACTTACCAAACAACTTACCACAGTGAAGATACCCTGTACAACTTACCACAGTGAAGATACCCTGTACAACTTACCACAGTGAAGATACCCTGTACAACTTACCACAGTGAAGATGGCCTGTACAACTTACCACAGTGAAGATGGCCTGTACAACTTACCACAGTGAAGATGGACTGTACAACTTACCACAGTGAAGATACCCTGTACAACTTACCACAGTGAAGATACCCTGTACAACTTACCACAGTGAAGATGGCCTGTACAACTTACCACAGTGAAGATGGCCTGGCGAGCCCCGGGCCACGAGTTGGGGCCATGTAGACGGTACTGGTAGGGTACACATGGGCCAGCTATTACTTGCCAGAACAGTGGCGGATCTGTGAACAGCAGCTTCACTGGAAAGGTAATATTGTAAAATACTTAAACATTTAGAGAAAACAAATCAAGCAAAAATAATTTTTGATTTGATTGCTTTAAACTATATGTAATAGTTGCGGATAGATTTGTTTTTAGTGAGTGGAATATAATTTTGATTTCACCCAAGCTGAAATATTGCGATCACTGATACTATCGAAGCTAATATTATGTTAATAACCGTCTTTTGTCAATGCACATACTAATTGAAAATTAGTGCTTCCAATTCCTAATGAACTTTGTTATTTTAATTTAGATAATCACCATACGAATTCGGTTAATCCAAAGCAAACATTACTACCACTTCGAGTAAGCCTTACATCATCTTACATCCTGACTCAGTTACGCTTTCACTCCCACATGTTTTGCTTGGACTTACCCTTGTTAGACTTACATCCATGAAAGATAGGTTTACAACCACACAAGGAAGGTTTACTCAACCCCTAATCTTAGAAACACCCAATTTAGGCCTTGCCCCACCTAAATTAAATCTAGACCCACCAAAATTTTCCCATGTTGAAATAAGACTCACCCAAGTTAGGCTTGGACCCACCCGTTAGACTTACATTCACCCAAGTTAGACTTAGACTCACCCAAGTTAACATTAGACTCACCCAAGTTAACATCAGACTCACCCAGGTTAGGCTTACAACCAGTTAACTCGGCCAGCTCATCCATATAGGGCAGCCAGTCCACCTGAATGGTGTGACGATCAGTGTGGACATACCTCGCCTGGAGTGCTCGCTCTTTGGCCGCGATATCTTTTTTCATGTTGGCTGGCGACGGTAGAGTGACCTCCCCCTGTTTTACATCAAGTTTATTTACAAAGCATTTCTACTAACAAAAATGGATCTGTAGTCCTGAGACGAAATTGTAACGTATAGTAAACAGGTTGAAATTTACTATGGCTGTTACTTTATAATACCCTTCTAGTATATGTGTTGCCCTTAGCGCAGCTGTTGCCCAAACTGTCCTAGATTAAAGACCCTAGTACACCTACACCTACCACTCTGCCTGCCTCTCGCCTGTCACCCCACTTCTCCTAAACCCTAGTACACATGTACCCACCTGCCCTGACCTAAATACCCTAGTACACATGTACCCACCTGCCCTGACCTAAATACCCTAGTACACATGTACCCACTTGTTCTAACCTAAATACCCTAGTACACCTGTCACCACCTGTCCTGGCCTACCTTAAAGACTCTGGCAGCGAGACGACTCTGCAGTTCTGCGATGGGAAACATGGCGCCCAGTGGCTGGCAGACGGCTAGAAAAGCGATCGTCTGCTTGGGCAGGACAGGTAACCACATGTACTTGTACAGCTCCACCTTGTTGTGTCTCACCTCTAGTACACTTTTCTCCTGCCCAGGTAAACAATAACAGACCGTACAGTAACAGTTTGTATTATGTGATCAGCAAGGGGAAGAAGTATAACTTCCCTTTACTATGACGTATTGCCGTCAGCAAAATGTTCACGAGTGTTTATTTAACCTAGCACAAGCTGAGTCATGTAAAGCCACCCTTTATGGAGTTACATTCAGCTACTTGACAAAGCAATTCAAATAGCAAACAAAACAGAAACATGAAGTGAATTCAATAATATATTAATAGAATTAAGAATATTATTTAGGTTATATATTAAAACTTTTCTAATTCGCCAATAATTATTTTAGTTTTATAAATTTGTTTATTTCATAAACATAGTATTTTTAGAACAGAATAAACGAGACTTACGATAAATGGATATTCCACTTTATAACCAGTAGCAAACACAACCAGATCAATTTCTTCCTCGTGGGTTCCGTCTTCAAATGTCACTCCTTCATCACGACAACAAGGGAAGAAATAAAACAAAGTAACATTTTATTTTTAAACATCAGTCACATCGATTTCAAAAACAAATAAATTAATACGCTAAACTGATTTATACATTATGTTATATAGTACACATCTTGCAAACCTCCAACCACCGCAGACTACTTTTGTAAGTACGGATTTTCTTAGATTTTTCATCGTGAATCAAGGTTTATTTAATATTTTTTTAAAAATGAATACATTTTTTCAGTTCTTAGGTATATACATATATATATATATATATATATATATATATATATATATATATATATATATATATATATATATATATATATATATATATATATATATATATATATATATATATATATATATATAAATATACAGAATTTTTTTTTTTGGGAGTGGGGGAAGGGGTGATTTATGAGATATCTTTTATTCACTTCAGCATTGTTTCATTGATCCATAACTCAGTAACTAGTTTTGCCGTGACTATGGTTCCATCTTCACAGACAAGCAAACAGCAACAACAGATAGTTCAACAAAGCCCCCACCTTTCTCGGTGAAGCTGCGAATGTTGGGCTTGACCTTGACCATGCCAGCGGCGATCCTGTTGGGCAGTTCATCATTGACCGTCGGGTGTGTGGCGTCCGGCTCGTGTACGGGAGTCAGGTGGTAAAGGTCGTGGCAGAACTTCTGGTTGAGTTTGTCCTTCAACAGCTTGTTTCTGTAGGACCTGGGCAGCCAGCTGAGCATGTAGCTGGCCAGGCGGACGTGCACGAAGTAGTCCCAGGGTAGACCGTTGTCCACAAGTCTGTTCAAAATCCATGCGCCGCGTCTGGTACACAGAAATACCTACGCGATGAAAAAAAAAAGATTTAAAAAAAAAGTATGAGAAGTGCTTAAGAGCGTAATGATCTAATTAGAAATGGTTCAAGACCATAATCGGGCAGATAGTTTTTATTCTAAATCATAGGGATTTAAAAAATGATTTATTCTACTTTTTATTTCCATTTATCATTTAACAACTTTGTTGTATACTATATTATACATATAGTTAAATTAATTTAATAATAGACTTTTTACACTCTAGTTTAGTCAACTATATCTAGTCATTGAATTGTGCTTAAAGGTTATTGAATTTATAAACCGTAACTGAAGCTAAAATGTCTACTTCTCTTCTCAAAGATCAAGCTTATTTTCGGAACAACATTAGATTGCACACTGACTATTGCGATTAGCAACAATGTTAACGGGCATAGATAAACAAGAAACGTTAATAAAAGAAATCACCTTCATATATTTACTTAATTCCACAGAAACATCACCGCCAGAATTTCCGATTCCCAAAACCACTGCCTTTTTTCCTGTGACTGAGCGAACGTCTTTAAAGTCTTTTGAATGCATGGTCTGAAAAAAAACGAAGCGAGAGCTCATTTGTTAACAAAATTAAAATGTATATTCCGTAATACTTTTAAACAAAGGACTGTTTCTTTCAGGTATTTTCTAAGTTTGTGTGTCCTGGGTATAGTCTAAGTTTGTGTATAGTGGCGTCCATAAATGACGTCCCACTTGTAAGGAGGAGGGGGGGAGGTCCGTTATTTTGTGAGGGTGTGTGATAAGGGGGAAAGGTGGGGCTCAAATAGTGTGACGTCACACATTTGTATTATAAATCAACCGGGAGTGATCTCTCCTAAACTTTCTCGAATATTCTTATATAAAACAACAGGGGATGGGAACTCGGGATATAGTTATGATTTTTAATCCATTTTAAATACTTAAACTTTTTAAAATAGAATAGAATCTCATAGAAAAAAGAATTGCGCACCAAGCGAACGCCAAAACAAAATGTGCATAATAGTGCAGAATATTATTAGTACTTTATAAATTTACATGCGTTTTTTGAGAAATCGGAAATAGCGTAAAGTACTACTTCCGGTCAACGGAAATTACTCAAAATTTAATAGAAGATAGAGAATTAGATCTGTTATTTACATGTGAAATTTCATTTATCTATCTGAAATAGTACTCAAGTTATAGGCTTTTGAAAAATAAAAAGTGAAAAAATTACCACTTTCGGTTATTGGAAATCGCTCAAAAGTTGATACGGATCTACTATTTTGATAATACTTATAAATGAAATTTCATCAACCTAGCTGTAACGGTACTCAAGTTATCTTGTTTACAGACACACACACACACATACACACAGACATACGGACAAGATTGCAAAAATATGTTTTTCCGACTCAGGGAGGTGTAAAACGTCGAGATTTGTAAAAAAAAAAAGTGTGCACGATTACAAGACTTTATGCTTCGTATATATGAGAAAGTAAAAAAACAATGTTAGAAAACGAATTTTAGCCGTTACTTCGCGTTTTAGCAAACTGTTTTTATAAACTGTAATAGGAGTTGATTAAAATACTGTAAGTTGACAGAGTTCAGACAAAGTTTTGAAACAAATACCGTATTTAAAAAAAAAAATTCAACTGCAATTTGAAAGGGTTTGTAGGCTGAGCTGTGACGTCGACTTAGGGGGTGGTGGTCTGGCTTTTTGTGACGATGTGTGACGGAGAGGGGGGAGGTAAAAATCGTTCAAAAAATAGCGTGACGTCATTAATGGATGACCCCTATCCCAGGTATTCTCTAGGTCTGTGTGTCCCAGGTATTCTCTATATTTTAACACCTGCTCACCTTCCCAGTAAACTTGTCCAGTCCTGGAATAGACGGCAGGTTCGGTGCCCCGTGATGACCATTGGCCACAATGATAAAGTCAAAAACTTCTGTGGTCTCTTGGCCAGTTTTATGATTTTTTAGTCTCATTTCCCAGCGTCCAGTGCTGAAATATAATGTTAATTAATTTCATGACAAGATTTACCCGGACAAAATAATACAGGAAAATGGTCTAAGATAAAAGTTATATCAAAGAAAATATAGCTCATACAAAATTCATCCGATGCTTCACATGATTTGTGTAGGTACTTTGCCATGAAAAATATCAAATTTCCGAAAAATATCAAAATTTCACTGTACCTGTTATAGGAGCTATGTTTCTTGAGATACATGACCTCTGTGTTTCTCTGGATGTATTTGTCCACACCAAAATGTTGGCTGTAGTCCAAGAAATACGCCTCCACCTAGAAATAACATTGTGGAAGATAATTAATTATGATTCAAACAAGATATTATGCAGATAAAAAACTTTATAGTACCAATACTCAAACATGTTTAAATCTAATTAAATTAACCATTTGTATGTCCAGACAATAGACCTATCGGAAATCTCATCGAATTTATTATCTGAACTCTGATCTATCATCTATTTTCTGACCTTTAATCCGAAGTATCATCTAATTGTTCTAAATGTATACAGTACACACTCTTATCACTTAACGTGTTAAACAATGCACTGCATAAAACGATTATCTTTGAAACTCACATCCTCGTTGTGGCAAAAGTTGGGGTAGTAGTCTGGCATCGGGTAGTCTGAGAAGGCCATGAACTCCTTGCTGGTGTTGATGACCGTTGACCTGTTGACACAGGACTCATCCTTCCAGGTGGAGGTCTGGAACCAAACGACCAAAAGATTACAGGCATTTAGAAAACAGTGAGGTGTTAGAAAAATAATACAATACAAATACACGCAAGAAATCAAACGAAATAGAGTCTGATTTAAGATATATATATATATGTATATATATATATATATATATATATATATATATATATATATATATATATAATGTTTTAAAGCTTAGGCTAGATATTTAATTAATGCACTATAGGAAGATGAACCGCATCAGGTGGGCATTAATTAATGAGGAGTATTTCATTTCAGGTTTAAAAGTTGTTAATTAAAATAATTATTGCGTTATTTCGCTTTTAGAATTGCTCTGAGAGATATGATTCAAAACTCATTGTAAATAAATGGGACTTCGACTATTTTAACATTAGATTATGGCGTTTTTATGTTGGCATTCTGATAAGTCATTTGTAAGATTTACATTAAGGCTTGTGTTGGGTTTATATTATGATATGGTTTATGTTAGGTTAAAATTAAGACTAGACTTTTTGACAATATATTTCAAAGATTAAGGTGAGACTTAAGGTCAGGGTTGAACTGGTTGTGTCCAAAGAGCCCTGGGGAAATATTTCAAGCCCCCACCCCCAACCCCTGATTACAATTTCAATGTGACGTTTATTTTTCTCCTTCACATTATGAATGTTACCCCATGGTATAAAGGAATGGAAGTGGTAACTAGAGAAACAAAAAAAAAATAATCGCAGAATTAAACAAGAGTTTTTTTTATAAGGGGTGGGGGTGGTGGTGGGGGGGGGGGATTTCGTCCGGCCGGTCAGTCCACTAATGATTTGTGTTATGATATTTAGATTAGTCGCTGAACTGTACCTTCAGTGTAAGCTAATAGAATAAGTGTGTGTGTGTGTGTATGTGACTTAAGGACTAGAATTAAAGTTTATAACACACGCAGTAGGTCAAGATGGAGTCTATAGATACACAAAAGGTCATGAACTCGAACTCCTGGCTGTTATGATGACCTTGACCCGATGGTTGTTGTGACCCTTGTCAACCGTTTAGAATCGTCTTGCGCGTCAGGCCAAACCAAGATAACGTCATGATCCGTGGAATGGTCAGTTTTATAATTAAAAAGTGTCTAATTAATTTTTTCATTTATCCAAGTATGTAGGAATAAAGTTTTTAAAGTAATAGTCGATTTAAATCAACAGTTTTAACGCAGCACCTTTATTCTTTAATAATAATAAAAAAAAACTTCATTAACATTAAAACCTTATATATTTTAATCTTAATATATTAATGCAAGATTTTATGGAAACATTCGAGCAGTTTGACTGTTAGTCCAAATGGGTTTTCAAAATTAAAAATCCCAAATTGTATACCCTGGGAGCAAACAATAAAGATACTCAAAACAAGCAAGAGGTAAAAATAAAGATGTCCCAACCCATAATTAGGATTCACTATTTCACAGACGAGATTAACTAAGGTTTACTAAGATTAGCTAAGGTTAGCTAATGTTAACTAGTGTTATCTAAGATTAGCTAAGGTTTTGAAAACAGCGCACAGCATGTAACGTTGCCTAAAAATGTACTTTTCCAGAAATTCCGCTGCTCTTTATCGCCTGCTTTAAGAGAGTACACAGACGCAGGGCCGGGTCACAGTGACCCTGCCGTCTCTCCCCCCCCCCCCCTGATCCCACTTATTGGGGTGAACTAATTCTCTGCCAAAATAAATTAGGTTATTTTCGAATTCCCCGAATGCTGGGTGTGTTATATCGGTATGATGCTAAAACTTAATTTATCTTTGGTGGAATAATCGATGTACGATGCACTACTTTTAAAAAACCACACACGTATAAAAAAAACATATACTTACTGATGCAGCTGTTTATTTCTCTTCTATAATTTACGCTGTTAATGTCGATTTTATGTGTGCATTACATGAGTAAGAGGCACTTTTTATGTATTTGTTTAGAAGGTTTTAAAGTTAGACACAATAGGTAAGCTATGTATATATAGAGTTTGGGGGCGGAGTGGCCAAGCGGTATAAAACTAGTAGGCCATCACTGAGTCCACCCAACTCTGATGGGTACCTAGCTCATGTTAGGGAGAGTAAAGTCGGCTGGGCATAGTGCTGACCACACTATCCCTTTAGATGCCTAGGTCACAGAAACAAGTGAACTCTATTTCACTTGCCCCATAGACCAGCAGGTTTGGAAGGGGAACTTTTCTTTTTTTTTTTGTTTTACTAAATATAGTCACCGTATGTAAGTACCCATTTAAGGCGGACGGAAAACACAAAAACGTTTATTTTGTAGGTTTTAGTGTATTCAATGAGTTGATATCTTTATAGAAGTTAATGTATCGAGTAAAGTATTATAAAATCAACCTTACTCGTCTTGGTCGCAATCGAGAATAAAAATTGTATGTGAAACAAATAGAACAAAATTTAACTATTTTGAATTTTTAAAAAGCAAAATGCAACCGAGAAGTCGCTAAACTGTTAGTATAATGTCTTAGCTTTAGGTGGTATCCCTAATAAAAAGTAGAAAAGGTGTTACATTTTAAAGAACCATTCTACTAACACAATACATATTTATTTTTACTATACCCTTCATCATAGGATTATATTTAAACTTAAACCATGCAACCATGAACGTAAATGAATTAATAACTTTCAACATTTAAATGTTTCATGTATTTGTTTAGTTGTCTTTCACTTGATACCAAGCTAATAAGTGGAACTAACATTTTAAGATCAAATAAAAACTACCCCTCCAAAACCCCCCACCCCCAACTTTTCAATGTGCTTTATGCTTACATCCCCTTTCAATCCACGCCCAAACTGCAGAGTTATTTATATCTGCTTTACCTAAAGATTCACTCAAGCATGAAGTAAAGCATCTGTTAGTGTATAAATTATAGGATAGAAGTGTCGGGTCTTGCTAAGTGGTCAAGATTGTTGAACCGTGACGGATACTAGGTTCTAAGTTTACTAAAGGTGTGTAGTAGTTGGCACAGTAGTTTCTGATACTTGAACTGTGACTGGTAATAGGCACAGTAGTTTCTGATAGTTGAACTGTGACTGGTAATAGGCACAGTAGTTTCTGATAGTTAAACCATAAATAGTAGTAGCTACACATTTCAACGAATATGTGTGTAGTTTGCAAGGAAATGTATTACTTGCCCGTGTCAACACATGCCATTTATAACTTTATAAATTGTATTATCACTGATGTACGTTTTACACACAGCGATCTTTCGACACCAAGAGTTTATTCCAGACATCTCTTTAAGTCTACCCCCCCCCCCCCCCGAACGAAATGGAATTTATATAGAAAATATATTTTTTTAACAGTGTCCGCCTCCCTGGAAATTTAAGTCCGCCCCCCCCCCCCGAAAATTTCAAGTGCCCCCTCACAGAGAATAAAGTCTGGAAGAAATACTGTCGACACCTAAAATACACCTAGAATTAGAGAGCCACAAGCTGCTGACAGATAGAAGAAACTCGTTCAAAGGCAACTCACGTCTTCCTTGAAGTACCACAATCCTCCAATCACGTCCCTCCTCTCGTAGCAGACGACATCAGAAAACCCGGCGTCCAGCAAATTCTTGACGGCTGTTATGCCGGACGACCCACCTCCTATGATGCCGACTCTCCCAGCCATGGTGGGGCTCTCTCAGAGGGGAGACTGGGGAGTAATAGGGTGAGGGGTGGGATATTAAATTAGCAGGAAACAAACTGTATCAAGTCTTCGTACATATATTTTAATGTGTATATAAACAATTTTCATATATATACATACATATATATATATATATATATATATATATATATATATATATATATATATATATATATATATATATATATATATATATATACATTTAAACATCCATAAACATGTTTATGTGTGACTTATTCATAATACATATTTAAATAAATTAAAATAGATAAATATATCTAAATACACCCGCACGCTTGCAAGCACTCACCACACACACACTCACATACACATATACATACACACTCACACACAGCTACCAAACACAACGACCTCACAAAATATTTAAGTACAGAAAGAGCAAGGAACAACTACGTTTAAATGAGAAAACGATAACTAATGTTGTCAAACAAGCTGCTAAAGCGGGGCAACGAACCGTAACCGTGACTGATACCCCCAAGGTTCAATAGGTCATTTTAAATCCAAACATTGGAACTAGGTCATGTTACAGTTTGGAAAGCGAGTATTAAGCTGACATCAAGGACATAATCAAATATATTGAGGTCAAATGGGTATTTAATTTAACTGTTTTTATCGTGCTGTTGTCAGTTTGGCAGTTGTGTTATGATGTGATCAGTAACAGTTGAACAGCAGCAGTTGAGTTAAGTTTACAAACTCTCAGAACATATAATCAAATATATTGAGGTCAAAGGGGTATTTAACTGTTTTTATCGTGCTGTGGTCAGTTTGGCAGTTGTGTTATGGTGTGTTTAGTAACAGTTGAACTGCGGCAGTGTAGTTAAGTTTAGAAACTCTCAGAACAGCTAGGACCTTAGTTCTGGCCTTTGTAGAACCCTTATCTCAATTTAACATTTATCTTAGCCTCGTTTCTCAATTTAACCCTTATATTAACCTAACCATGTTATCATTTTAAGCCTAATCTTAACCTAACCATTATCTCAATTTAACACTCACCTTAGTCTAACCCTTATCTCAATTGAGCCCTTACTCTTAACCCTTATCCCCAATCTAACACTTTTTTAACTAACCCTTATCTCAATTTAGCCTAAAATTAAACTAACCCTTCTATCAATTTAAGCATAATCTAAGCCTAACCCAGCACCTGTAAGCAGATAACTAACATTGTTTTTCTTTTAAAAAAAAATTAGCTAATTTTACTCCAACGAGTTTGGAAAAAAGTATGAAATTAGTAATCGACAGAGAATGATAATTGGCGTACAATGTAGACTTATCTGTTTACGTTACAATACTTATCCGTCATTATTTTACACAACAGTCATATAACTGAAGCACACATACCATATATATAGTCTATACAAAAGGCCAACTTAGCTTTGAAAAAATATATTCTTATCACAACAGATCTTACCTTATAGAATGAAACAAATCACTCGCCACACAATAACACTTCTCTCACTTAAGCATCAAAACTACACAAAATGCCAGACGTCTAATCAACTCTAGTGCCAGGACTGGGATTTGTTCTCGGCCAGCAGTTAGCCTAATTGTCGCAACATATGTCCGAACTCTTAACTCTCGGTTAATTTACTGTGCCTTAGTTCGGCCGTACTTGCTGGCGTTACTTCCCCTGAATGGTTGCTCCACATTTACGTTATCTTGTTGTTTTTTTCTCTCTAAATAACATTACTGTGTGTGCATAGAAAACATGAGGGATGCGTACGTTACAGTTCTTGACCCAAGTTTTATTTTAAATTTCTTCTATGTGTTGTTTCACTTTGTCTTGAAGATGGTGTTGTGTGTTGGTGTCGTGTTGTTGTTGTGTTGTGTGTGTCGTTGTTCATCAAAATCCTGAACACTAGTTCCGGCATCAGTGAAAATAGAACTTCAAAGTACAAGCAACATATTTATATTGGTGCATGCTAACCGATAATGTAAGGATAAATGTACCCTACTTGTGACACTTAATTTCAATAAAATTATCCTACGGGAAAAAAGTCACGAATTATTCATGATGCTGAAGGGTGAACAAGGGAGGGAATCCAATATAATAGCATTTGTTGCATGATTTTTACAGTGCACTCCCTTTGATAAAAATCATGCGGGGGAAAACTTAGGATTGCATGTTGGCAATTGCAAGATATGAAATGTACTAGCAATATATAACATGATGAATAATAAATAGATATGTTTGTTTAACAGTAAGAGCAAAGTCGTCGTTTCTAGATATATGCATATATTTCTTAAGATATTTTATGTTATCAGCTAAACTTTTCCGATAGTCACGAGTTCGAATCCCGATCATAATTCTGTAGAACGTCCCTGATTCCACTTAATTCTGATTGGAATTGTGGTGACCACCATCGCTTCGTGGCCCGAAATCGAACTCGTGACTTTCAAGTTTGTAGTCAAGCGCTCTATCACTCGACATCTCCGTCCCCTTTTAAATCTAATTGATGATCAAAACAAAAATACTTTTTTTCTAATTAAAAGTAAATGTGCTAATTGTCAATTACTTTTTCTTTATCCCCAATACTCGCTAACATTTATTTGAAAAATATTTTTGAATTACGCTTATCTGTAGGGGATATGCACTTTATTTTATTATTTTATTTTTTGCAATTAAGGATCTAAAGCCTTTTGAATACTTTCACCATGTTTGGCACATGAAAGTAGGTATAAAACAGCAAAAAAAAAAGAGGTTGAAAACTATTTTCGTTGTCATGGAAACCCTTAAAAAAACCTCCGCCATTTTGAATTTTTCGGTACCTTTAAAAATGCTAAGGTTTTTTATTTATGCACATTTAGCAATCAAATTTTAACTGCTTATATTTCAGTGTATATAAAAACTTTGTAATACTTATACTATTTTTTCTATGAAAGCCATCACAATTACCTCCTGACAGAAGTTTATTTTTGCATGAAAAACAATTACTGAAAATATGGTGGGGCATTGTTTAATAAATTTAAAAAACAACTGAGAAAAAGAGCCAAAAGAAAAGAAAAGTTGGTCACCAAAATATCGTATCTGTGTAAAATGCAAAGCCGGTTGTAAGCTTTGGGTGTTTCCAAAGCGATGGAAATTAAAATTATCAAATTCAAGAGGAATCCAGCTTTCCGATGATGCCAAATACATTATGATGACGGTTTCAAAACTTTTGGTGGACAACTTGTAAGATTGAGAAAAAATAATTATTTTTTAATTAATAGGGTCATACAAATAGCATTTTAACACATACATTTTTGTTTTTCATTAAGTTTATTATTTTGTTAATACAAAAATGGACAAAGTATCCAAAGGTGCAAGAAACCCATTATAACAAAAAATCAGGAATTCGATGAATTTTTTTACTGCGCATATCCCTTTTAAATATATCCCAAATTGAGTGTCTCATCCAAGTGGTCTAAATAACAATACAACAGTCCTGTCTCAAGTTAAATCAATGACGACCTGCATATATCTTTTATCATACTGTTCTCATTAACCTATGAAAAATACCTAAAGTCTAAGCTAACATCTGCAAAATTTCAGTAATTAACTGAAGGAATGGATATAACATTTCGAGAATGGAATAAAGTGATACATTTAATCTGAAAAATTGAATCACACCTTTTATTTTGTATCTTCATTACGATATTGACAATTGTATATTTTTTTTAGTTTTATAACATCTAAAAAGTAAAACTAAATTATTTACAACAACATAACACATTTTCTTCAATTTCAAAAGTTTTATATCTTAGAGATTTATAGTCATTTCAAAACTTTAATTTTTTAACAAAACTTCGTCTATTAGTCCTAACAGAGGTTTGTTTAAGTTCATTTTAAAATGTGTTTCTGTGACAGGAAACATAAAAAAACCAAAAGACTGAACACGTCTCTTCTCGTTGCGTTTAGTAACATCATCTAATACTGCACCTGTCCTCTGATGTTCCCACTGTTAAGTATTTCAGAATACAAGAGATAGTACATGCTGGACTTCACTTTTTAAATGGTGTACAAGTTGTTACTTGACAACAATAAGAGATAAAATAATATAGTATTTTTATATACACACACTCAAACACTGACAAACACACACTAACACACACATACTCACGCAACCATACACACAGTGAGAGAGAAGAGACTCATTTCTTGTTTCAAAAAGCAGTAATTGTGATTTTAAATACCACTACGAGTAAATTATACAAGTGATATAATTGATATTGAAAAGTCAATTTATATAATATTACCTATATAGTCTTTAAAAAAAAAAAAAAAAAAAAAAAAAAAAAAAAAAAAATAATAATAAAAATATAAAAACGAACATTGTTAGTTGGCCTACTCAAATGCATATCCGTAAACCTGTGGAGAATTTAAACAAAAAGGTAGGAAGGCTTGCTGAAATCGGGGTCATTGGCGTATATAGCGCCTAAAAAGTTGACCCGTAGAACTTAATTGAACTAAAATTAGGAACGAAGAAGAAAAAGAAGAAACAGAAAGGTAAAACAGATTGCCAATCGCAAGTCTTTAAATGACGAGCAGCCGTTTATAAAACAGTTTACACAAGTGTAGGGTAAACTCACATATAGTGTGAGCATATTTTATGTGTGTGTATCTGTGTGTGCGCGAGCCTGCGTTTGCTTGTGTGTGTACGACACACACACACACACACACACACACACACACACACATATATATATATATATATATATATATATATATATATATATCACATTAATAATGCTCATGTTATTCTAATAAAATAATGATTTTGAAATATCTCGCGATCAAGTAAAGGATATATAACCGTTACACATTTATTTTTACATACTAGTGTTTGCATTTCAACTAGAAATGTACATTTACAAAATCTGTCTTCTTTAAATATTATTACATTTTTAGCGCTTTTAGACTCAAATAAAAGAGAGTAAGTTGTAATCTTGGTCTGTACTGAAAATGTGATAGAAATTGATACGTTTTTTATAATTAAAAAAATGTGTGTAAAAAATGCAATGTTTATCAAAATAAAATAAATATGATTACTCACTTAGGAAAATAGTAACACATCACTATGTTTTTTTTTTTAAAAACCTTGTCATTGCATTCACTTACACTACAACCAAATTATTTAGTATTTTTCCATCTATCTAAATACTACTAAAACTCAAGTTGTCTATATGTTTGAATAGTTATTTGTCCGTTTGGTTACACTATGTGTAGAGCTGTAAAATAGTATTTAGATAGAGAACAATTTTCTTTTTTTATACACACTGTAAATCACAAATTTATTTAAAGACGTTAATTAGTTTAATGATTTCTTCATTGGTAGATTAACTACATTAATCATAAAAGTTCAGAACAATGACTTTACTTTTAGTGACGTCACATGATTTATTAATTTTTTACAATAATAAAGGCGGCTTCCATTGAATATTTTGCTTCCCAAGCGAAAGTTTTATAAAGCATTATAAAGCCAATTTTCTGTCGGCTTCACGATATGTCAGATATGTCCGTTTGCTATTTTCATTTACGTTCCAACACTAATATCAATTTTCGACAGTCCTTTTCATTTAAGTATACAATACATTTCTCTAGATCTAGAATCTACAAAACAGCCGTCAAAGGGGAAAAGTTATAGATCTAGAAAAAAGGTAAAATATATCAGTAGTTACGTCCCTATTTCTACGAGCCTAGAGAGCTAAGATGTTAGCGTATTAGGTTACCATCTGACTAGATAAAGGGTAGCCTAGTATACTACTAAAGCTCAAGTTTGTTTACATGTGTGAATATTTATTTGTTTTTGTTTGTTTGTCCATTTGGTTACAGGAGAGAATCTGCACTATATTTAGAGCTGTACTATGCGTAATTAGTTAGAGAACAATTTTCTTTTTTAAACAAACTGTTAATCACAAATTTATTTAAAGACGTTAATTAATTAATTGATTTATTCATTGGTAGATTAACCAGATTAATTATAAAAGTTCAGAACAATGACTTTACTTATATTGACGTCACATGATTTATTTACTTTTTACAACAGTAATGCCGGCTTCCATCAAAGATTTGTTGCCTATTCAAAAGTTTAACACATTATAAAGCTAATTTTCTTTAGGCTATAGCTTTAACGATGCGTCCGTTTGCTATTTTTTATTAGGTTTCAACACTATTATCAATTTTTAAAAGTTTTTTATTTATTTTAGTATACAATAAACTTATCTAGACCTACAGATCAGCTGTCGAAGGAAGAAAAACATTATAGATCTAGATCTAGGTCAAACCAAAATTTATTATTTAAAAATAAAATCAATTATAAAAACACATAAAATTATTGAGTTTCTTTATTAAACTATATTAGTCCTTAAATATTTGATATAAATCTCTCAATTTTAGCTTCAATGATCATCTAATTTAAGAATACAAGGGATTTATCTATCATGTTCTCGATCTAGTAATTGTAGTACTATTTCTACGCTGGTTAGCCAGTGCCTAAATAGAAAAAATGATAGTGTGTTGGCTACCATGCGGATGGTACGGGTTCGAGACACATCACGACACAATTTTTTTTTCAATTTATTTTTATTGAAACGATGATAATAAAGTTGTTTATCTGGACGTCGCGGTACACAGGGCAGGTGAAGTAGAGCTGATCTGTTTCTGTGTCTTCAGCATATGAAGGGATAGTGTAGTCAGAGCCAAACTGGCCCCAACTCGTTTTTTTTTAACAATAAAAACATAGTGTCTGAGACTTGGAAGGACACTGGGCAGCTGAAGTAGAGTTGGGTAGGTGTAGAGTTCACCTGTGACGACAGCATAAAAAGAGATAGTAATGGGCAGACCCATGCTCAGACGAAATCTGTGTATTAAAAGACAAAAACTTGTCTGAGTTGGGGGGACACTGGGCAGGTAAAGTAGATTTGACCTGTTTTTGTTACCTCAGAATATGAAGAGATGGTGTGTGTTATAACTGAGTCCAACCTCCTGAGTCCTACCGCTAGTGGGTATCTACCCTACCACCCCCCCCCTCCTGTTCCACACCTGAACTCGGACAGCGTGTACTGCCCCTCCCCCACCTGAACTGGGACACAATGCATGAGTCCCACCTAGCATTTGCAAGCGCCCATCACTCCCCCTCGCTGGAATGCCGGGGTCATGCAGGGGTTAAGGAACCAAAAGGGTCAAGCTTGGCCAGAAAGATTGGACAGTTGAACGTTAGGCTTGCTAGGATGTAGTTGTGTTTTTGTGACTTCGTTTAATAACAGTGTGGTCAGACCCATGCTAAGCCGAAATAGGTGTTTTCAAAAGACAAAAACATTTGAGGTGTGACGTCTTTTTGAATGTAGAGTCTGTTTTTTTGTGACGATAAGTGACAGACGTGATGTTTTTTTATGGATGACCGCCGAAACCCACAGTTATCCAAGGGATGACGGGTAGTCTAGTAATATCTAAAATAAGCATAATGACACATTTGGGAACAAAAAAAAATGTTTAAATTTTTAAACTGTATCATTGTCGAGCAATAAAAAGCACATGATAAAAAATTAACTTACACATCACCGAATATCCTAAATTAACACAGTTTGGTGCCCCTTAAATATTAGAATATTAAAAATAGTAAACATCAAGTTTCAATCATTATATGAAATGAAGTATTATATATTAATTAATACAACTTTAAATTAGTACTGATGGGTACACTAATTAAGCAATTATAGAGCAGACCTTTAGGAATTAAAACAATCGCTTGCATTGTTGTACAAACTTATTTACATCCAACTTTAGACATAACTAAAAGACTAAATCTAAATGTAACCATAAACATAGCTTGAAACTCAGACTAAAAGCTATACTGTTTTCCTTTACCTCAAAACTAGTTTAAATGCAACCATAAGCCAGGGAATAAAAAAAAAGGTTTAAATGGATGGTGTAGATGTTATTTCGCACAACATTGCACATTTCTGGAACAATTAACTGCATTGCATGACACAATGTTCCAGTACGCCACTTCCCTTATATAATTTCCAAACTTTCCCAAACTAAGAAAAAACATTCTACAAATAATTTAATAGAATCGTGACATGTAAGAGTATAACTATGGAAAAAAATACTGTGGTCTACCCTTACAACAATACTAAATATTGCATCAATGCTAACTAAATACCATTATTTTAAATGTAAAATTAATATTTTATTCATTAATAATCAAGATTTTCTTCTTATTTACATAACTTATTTAATAATTGTCTGTGGTGATCGAGTCGGTAAAGCTCAGGGTTGCTAAACCGAAAAATCTCGAGTTCGAATCCTTGGGCAGATGAGGCGCGTTAGCTGGGGACATCAAGGAGAGACAACTCCAAAATCAAACAACTGTTGCCTTGTAGTTTGTTCTTTGTTGGACAAAGGCTATGGAAGCAAATCCAAAAAGAAAAGCAGGCTGAAATCGGAGTCAATGGCCTCAATGGCGCATAACCAGTTGACACGTATCCTTAATTGTGTTGGAGGGGGAATCCCTTCCAACACTAAAATTAAGAACGAAGAAGATGAAGAAGAAGTCTGTGGGATAATGTAGTCTGGAATGAGAAGCTGTGTGGTTAGGGTGCACACCTGTTGTCACGAAAGTCACCAGTTCAGAACCTTTTATGACGTCTCTGAGCCCAGCCAACCTGGATGGTGCAAAACATGAATTAAGTACATTTAAAGTGAGAGGGCGTAGAACGTATCATACTATACCACCCCCCCCCCCCCATATGGCAAGGTTACAGAAACAGATAAACTAAACTTGACATGCCAATGTACCTTTTATTTAAATATCTCATCTGATTTAAACCAATTTAGTAAAAAAATAAATTAGTGCACACTTATAAAAGAACCTCAAATTAAAAATTTACGTTGTCTACTCACCCTTTGCACGTGCAGTTAAGCATGGTCATTTTGATTGACTATGTAATAATTAAATTTTTACTTTCTCGTATATACGAAGTATAGAGACAGTATTGTAATCGTGCAAAAAAATCGAGATTTTTGCAAATCTCGACGTTTTACACCTCCCTGAGTCGGAAAAACATAATTTTGCAATCTTGTCCGTATGTCTGTGTGTGTGTGTGACTGTAAACACGATAACTTGAGTACCGTTTTAGGTAGGTTGATAACATTTCACATATAAGTATTATATGAAACGAGCCGACCCGCGGCGTATCATACGCCGCTATTTAGTCGTTTTATGCTCTATTTTTCAGTAATTTATAGTTTGTGAATTCGACAGTACCAATGCTGCCACTGAAAATATTTGCTTTAAAACACTACCCCCCCCCCCCTTTCCCTCAACCTCTACCCTATCCCCCCCCCCCCCCCCCGTGAAAGCAGCATCCTCTTAGTTACCTCCTTTAAGTTTAAAATCGTTTCAAAGTAAATTATCTGCCCCTAATAGCCGTCACTAAACCCGGCTCTACGAATGTAAACATTTAGAGTGAACACCGCTCACCAAACCATGTGGTGGGTTGGGGTGGTAGTGATAGAGAGGAAGAGAGGGGACTGCAAGGCGCGCTTGCAGCTTGTTTTCTAACGTCTCCCAGAAGAGAATTATATATATAGATTTGTAGATAGGTATCAATTTTTCAGCGATTTCCAATAACCGAAAGTGGATTTTTTTCCACTTTCATTTTATTTTTCAATAGTCTATAACTTGAGTACTATTTCAGATAGATAAATAAAATTTCACACGTAAGTAAAAAATCTAATTCTCTGCCTTTTGTCAAATTTTGAGTAATTTCCGTTGACCGGAAGTAGTAGTTTACACTATGTGCGATTTCTCAAAACACGCATGTGAATTTATTAGGTACTAATAATATTACGCATTACTATACACATTTTGCTTGGTGTTCACTTGGTGCGCAATTCTTTTTTTCTACGATATTCTATTCTATTTTAAAAAATTTAAGTAATCAAAAATTGATTTAAAATTATGTCTATATCCCGAGTTGCCATCCACCGTAGTGTTATATAAGAATATTCGAGAAAGTTTAGGGGAGATTACTCCCGGTTTATTTTAAGTTGCTTATTCTGTATGTCCGTCGTCATAGATCGAAACGGACCAGCACTTCTGACAGATATGTTTCAAAGTTAAGGCCAAGCCTTAAGGAAAATGCAATCTGACATCAAATTTGACTTAATTGGAAAACTAATGATTTTTTATGAATTATTAAACAATTTCTAAAATTATTAGACCGCCTTATCCAACTATTCTACACTTAAACGCGCGTTATCATGTTCATTATCCATAATTTTTTAGTGCGACTTTCATAAATCTTTATTTAAAGTTTATAATGTAAACGTCGAAAGGTAATGTATTGAGGTAAACGCTTTTGATGTGCTTTTAATAAATTAAATAAAAATTATCACTTTATATTTTAAAACCATCTTTAGCTACGGCTCATGTTATAATGATAGGATCAATACATAGATTTCTTTCATCCGGGTCTCTTTAATTTAATCATATAATAGCTTGTGTATTAAAGATGTTTTAGAGCTATTTCCCACCAATTACACGTACTCGACCGAAGCTAAAGACCTAAAATCAATAATTGAACCCCATATTAAAAGTTCAAGGACTACCAAAGTTCACAAAGAAGTTAGCATTTGAAGTAGATAACTTTTCAACATATCGTTGGATTACAAGTTTTCGTGAACTTATTTAGGCCTTTGATACGCACGCTAGCATGCAGAAATAATAGATACAGCGTTTCAAAATGTGTATTCATATTTCGGTGGGATAAATTACTTTGGTACTGTTGTTATTGAACAGCATATAATAAAACATCTAACACTTCAATGATATACTAGTTTAAAATATTGAATACATCAATAAGAAGTTACATTTATTCAAGACTGAATTGTGATTAGTACCAAAATAAAAACAAACAAAATGGAGCTAGAGTAAATATCAGTATGAAAATTGTGATAAGCTCTTGCATAAACATTTATAAACATAACGAGGATTTTAATAATTACCGCTATAACAGATGTGGTAAGTTCCGTTATAAGAAAAAAACCAATTAATACCACATCGAAGTAATTACTTAAATTAGAAGCGTCATGTATACTACTGGCAGCGAGACGCCAGACACCAACATGACCACAATGGCTGTGGTCATTCCTCTGGTCAATTATGAACTATTGGAGATTTTCATTATGGTTAACGTCGAATACCTAAACCTGGTGTTCTCGGTGTTTGGTGTTTTCGCCAACACCCTCAACGTGGCCGTGTTCTTGAAGCAAGGGTTCACCGACAACGTCAACATCAGCCTCCTCGTCTTGTCTGTGACTGACCTGGGTTCGCTCCTGACAGCCTTGACCTTCAGCCTGACTTACAACGCTGGTTTTGTAGCGATGACGTCAATAGAACCGTTTGGGTTCCAGCTCGTGGTGGCGGCATTTCCGCGTGGTGTGTTAAGCCGTGTGTCCAGCTGCGTCACGGCTTACATCATGTTTGAGAGATGTGTCTGCGTGGTTATGCCCTTTAAAATAAAACGCGTCCTCACGCCAAAAGTTACGGTACTTGTTATGTTTTCCATCTATACCGGGCTTGGCTTGACTCTAATTCCAGTTTATTTACAAATGTACCTGGGTTGGAGTTACAACCCGTACGTCAATATGACAACCCTAGGACTACAACTGACCAACTACGTAGGTCTAGCAGACGCCAATATCTCTCTCTCTCCATCCACACTGTAACTCAAATCGGTTCTTTCTTTATGATCATTGTCTTCACAATCATCCTAGTTTTTGCGTTGATAAAAAGATCAAAATGGCGTCAAAAGTCATCGTCAGTAGACAGAATCACAACCAATAAAAAAGGTTCTCAAACTCTGAGGTTGATCACCAGCATGGCCGTCATCTACATAGTCTGCTACCTGCCCAGTATAGCGATCCTGTTGACTGGGCTTGTCGAACCAAAATTCGGAGCTTTTGGTCAAGAGGTCAACTTGTATCTTGTGCTCGTGTCGTTTAATATAGCCTTAGAGTCGCTGATCTCCTGCGTCAGTGTGTTCTTGTATCACAAGATGAGTAGCAGGTACAGAGAAACATTTCGACAGATGTTCTATACCCCCGTGTTCTTTAATGTGATGAACAGACAAAGAAAATAAAAAATAAATTACAAAGTTGGTTACTAACACTAAGAGTCATTGTGTAGAGAGCGTGATCAGAAATTGATAGGTTCATGCTTCATATACTCGTTATGATATATTCTTTACTGAAGTTGGGGAGGTTCAGATGGGGCGCAGATAATCTAACTACCCCCCACCCTAATTTGGAAAAGTTGAGACACTTCTTACCAGTTACTTTCTCTTTACAGTTGTACCTTGTTTTCATACAATATATGTAGAAAACAGTCCGTAAGGCAAGAAAAAAATTAAGAACGAAGAAGAAGAAAGAAGAATCTAAACCATTAAAACTGTTCTTTTATTGTGTCCTTAAGATATTGACAAATGCATAAACTTTTAGTTTTATAACATCTAAAAATTATAACAAAATTATTCATAACCATATAACACATTTTCTTCAATTTAAAAACAGTTTTATATTTTAGGGCTCTAAAAATAATTTCAAAACTTTTTTTATGTAAGCTTCGTCCATTAGTCCCAACAAAGATTTGTTTATATTTATTTTAAAACGTGTTTCTGCGCCATAAGGATCCAAAAAACTGGACACGTCTCTGCTTGTAGCGTGTAGTCCCATCAGCTAATACGGCAACTGTCCTCTGATGTTCCCTCTGTTAAGTATTTTCAAAATCTCAACAAAATAATACAATAAATAGTACATGTTGGACTACACTGTTTAACTGGTGTACAGATAGTTTCTTGACAACAATAATATAGTATATTTAATAAACACACACTCACACACTGACAAACACACACACTGTCACATACATACTCACGCAAGCACGCACACACACATACACACAGTAAGAAAGAAAATGGACTCATTTCCTTTTTCAAAAACCAGCTGTTGTCGTTTATAAAACTACTTGGAATAAATTATATAAGTAATATAATCGGTATTGTAATTTCAATGTATTTAAAATAACAATATACTACCTTTAAACCAATTATTTATAAAATACATTATATGGAGTCTTTGTAAAAGACGTTAAAATACGTCTTTTTGAATGTGTGGTCTGGTGTTTTTTTTTGTGACAATAAGTGACAGACGTGATGTCATTTATGGATGACCCCCGAAACCATCAGTTATCCGATGATAACGGGTAGTCTAGTATTATTTATTATACAAACAATCCTTCACATACAATCTAGTACTTGTGTAAGTAGAGGGAAAAAAACGTTGAGTTTGCTACTCTAGAGCATATCAATTAAACTGTAATTTCAACAAAAAGGTAAGAAGAGAAGGCTGAAATCGGAGTCAATAGCGGATATGGCGCATGACAAGTTGACCCGGAGTACTTAGTTGTGGTGAAGAAAATCCCTTCCAACACTAAAATAAAGAACGAAGAGGAAGAAGAAGAAACAATAAGGTAAACAGATTCTCAATCACATGTCTTTGAATGACGAGTAGCCATTCATAAAACACTGCTTACACATCAGCGTAGTGTGAACATACCTTTGTTATGTTAGAGCTGAAATAAAACATAAACTTACCTAGGCCAATAGTTACAAGAGACGAAATTAGGGCCTATACCATCAACATTCACACACTGAGCGACGCCACATCCAACAGAGGTTGAATTTTTCCACACCATCTAGGAATGGCATAGTAGTGATGTCAAAATAGCATTTCATAATCAAAACAGGTATTCAATTAATGTAGTTCAATTGTTGAATAAAAATCTACAATGTTTCAATACATTTACAGGTGTTGAATTAAATTCTTAATCAAGTAAATATTTTTAGTTAAATATGTATTTCTTTGTCGAAGAAGGTCAATTATAAATGACGTTTAGAGTTGCTTTTGTCCAATTTTCGACCAATAGTCAGACATTGTCACAAAAGTTTAATTTCTCCTCTAAAATAATACCACGTGTTCACCTTATCCCTTTATACTTTATACAATATTACTATTTTTTCCAAACTCTTTATTTCATTTGAGCCATTTTCCTTCCATTAGGGGATGTAAATAAAAAGGGGGGGGGGAATCTCGTATGTACTTAATCGTATATATCTATCTATATATATAATTCTCTTCTGGGAGACGCTGGAAAACAAGCTGTAAGCGCGCTCCCTACCACCCCCACCCCTACATGTTCTGGTGAGCTGTGGTTCACGCTAAATGTTTACAATCGTAGAGCCGGGTTTTAGTGACGGCTATTAGGGGCAGATAATTTAGTTTGAAACTATTTTAAACTTAAGGGAGGCAACTAATAGGAGGCTGCTCGTATTATGTATTATTCAAACAATCCTGCCCATACAATATTGTACTTATGTAAGTAGAGGAAAAAAGTACAATTCATCTATTTATATGAACACGTACTATGACAGTTAATTAATTTTAAAGTTAATTTTAAATTGTCTAAATCGATTTAGGTTCCAATTAAGAGCTGGGTGGGCTCAGTAAAGTCCTATCTACCAGATCTAGTGAATCAAATGATACACATTCATATGTTCATCAAGTGTTCTACATCTCAGCTACAGACGTTCAACTCTCACCTGTGAATAGTGGGCACAGCTGAGATCTTTGAGACATGTCCAGGACGGGTAGACAACATAAGCCAATTCAGTTTTCCAGTATGCAATTGCAGCCAGGGCTAAGCCAGGAACGTCTGTATTCAAGGCTGTAGTGATTAAAGTTGTTTTATTACAAATACAATAATTGCTAAAATTATTTTAACATTGGCTCTTTCCGGGTATATTAATGGATACAATTATTATAACATTTTGTTGTTCCCAATATATTAATAGCTAAAACTAATATCTTCTGTTTCTTCGTTCTTAATTTTAATGTTGGATAGTATCCCCTCCAACCCAAGTATACGTGTCAACTGGTTATGCACCATAGAGGCCATTGATAAAAAAAAACTGGGCGTTCCCGATCCCACTTATCATATCATTCGTTTCAAATGATTACAATAGTAGTTTAATAAAAACTGTTCACTGAATTGGGACACACGTATTTTTATAGAGAACTAATAAGAACAAATGCAGGCTACTGGCAAGACCGGGCATGAACTAAAGTGGCTCGCCCAAGACAGAGTGGAATGGCGGAGATTTGTTGTTGCCCTATACTCCACAGGGAGTGATGAGGATTAAGTAAGTAAGTAATAAGGGTTCCACGATGTGACATGCCAAAGAATGATTGCGTTGTGGGACGCTAAACAAAAAGTCTGGGCTGTCAGATAACGAGCGGACGATTTTGCAGATAACATAAGATCTATTTAAACAATAGACTAGATTTTACAGTAACGGGCTATTTATACTCTGGGGCAGGGGTCTCCAAACTACGGCCGGCGGGCTTGATGTGGTCCTCGAAGTCCTGTCATCCGGCCCGTGGAGATCATTTTGTCCACGGAAAAAAAACGTTTGTTGGTGATGGCCGAGGAACTTTGCGCAGAAAAAAATCAAAGACATGCATGGAAGAAAATGGCCCGCGAACTGAAATTTGATAGCTAATGCGGCCCTCGGACTAAAAAGTTTGCAGACCCCTACTCTAGGGTCTCGTTTCCGAACGTCATAGGCTAAGTATGTCTCGACTAACGAACGCCCTAGTCTAGCAACGTCTCGACTTACGAACGCCCTAATTTAGCAACACTCAGAGTTACAATTTGAACTGGGCATGATCTGAGGGCAGTCCGATGGCACTTGAACTGAAGCTTTGAACTTACGTGAATCCGAGTATAGATTCTCGCCGTAGGGGCCGTACGTGTGGCTGTATACACAATAGCTTGTCCAGTTTTTGGCGTAGTTGGCCAGTGTGGTGTTCCATACCTGTTGTGAAGATGAAGACATCTTTTATAGCTTGTTGTCCAGACCAGTGTTTCTTCTAGACTTTTTTCTCGGGGGGGGGGGGGGGGGGTGGGTGGGAAAGTGTGGTGTGTTGATGTTTGGCATGGTGTTATGAGACGTGGCGTGGTGTCACGAGAGGTGATATAGTGTAATGAGGTGTGTTTGTTGTTAGGGTGGTATAGTGTTGTAATGTGTTGTATGGAGTTTTGATGTAAGGCATGTTTTTATGAGGCATGGTGTGGTGTGGTGTCTTGAGATTTGTTTTATCGTATCACGATCAGTGGCATAGTGTCATGGGGTGTTGTATGGTGCCATGAGGCTTCTTATGGTGTCATGAGGCTTCTTATGGTGTCATGAGGGGTCTTATGGTGTCATGAGGCTTCTTATGGTGTCATGAGGCGTCTTATGGTGTCATGAGGCTTCTTATGGTGTCATGAGGCTTCTTATGGTGTCATGAGGCGTCTTATGGTGTCATGAGGCTTCTTATGGTGTCATGAGGCTTCTTATGGTGTCATGAGGCTTCTTATGGTGTCATGAGGCGTCTTATGGTGTCATGAGGCTTCTTATGGTGTCATGAGGTGTGGCATGGAGCTTCGTAACCCGACTGACCCCTTAGTGTCAAAGTTTTCTGAAAACTTATTACAATCTAAAATGTCGTGCATGTATGTTATATCAGTATTGCCTGCTTGTTATTCAGTGTATGTAACCTATAGCTGAATATTCGTGTCTTATTTCAAGACTAGGTTTATGATCCAAAATGTATTGTGGAATGTCCAGGTTTATAATTGTGAACGTTTGGCGAAAGAGAATCTTATGCATTCATTCAGATTTAAAATTGTGAGATACATTCTTCAAACATGTAAAAAAAAAGAATTTAAAAAAATGGTTTAACTGTCTGCCCCAGAGCTGCAGTAAATATATGCAGCGAAAATTACCAACACCAGTTAATGAAAAACAAAACAAACAACATGTACAAGTAGATTAATGAAGGTAAGCTGAAGAGACAGCTCCAGTGGAATGACTACAGATCAAGCTGACAACTAAAGGACGACAAGCACGATGAACTTACCAGAGACGGCACGCCGAGAGCATTCCTCACATCGTTGTGAGCCTTCAGGAACGCTGCAATATCAGCAGACGACAAGGTCACGGATACGCCTGCCTTATCCGATAGCCATGAGACTTTGGGGGAGTTGATTAGAACAATTCAGGGAAGGGTTCTGTAAAAAAAACTTTATTAATTTCGCAAGGGCGGCGCCACGGGCGGCTGCGATTTTTCTCTATATAGGGTTTATAAAATTTCGTTTTCACACCGTTCATCCGTGTACCATGAAACTTTGGGGAGATGATTAGATCACTCAATGGTAGGGTTCTGCAAAAAAATATTTTTTAATATTGCAAGGGCGGCGCACCACCGGGGGGGGGGGGGGGGTGAGCGATTTTTTTTCTCTATACACGGTATATAAAATATAAAACTCGGATGCGGTTCATCCGAGTGCCATGAAACTTTAGGGATGAGAATACTCCCGAGAATATTTCTGCGAAAAAAAAACAACTAAAGTTTCTTACGGGCGGCTCCATATAGGGTACAACTTTCGTCAATACACGGTTTGGCGCCCAGAGTTTTAGAGCGACTATGTTGGCACTTGGCATCCGTTAATCGAGCTTCCTGCATAGCGAGTAAGGGGTACTACTATATTCAGCGGTAAAACTACAACAGGCTTCTAAAACTAACTTTGTAACGCGAGGAAATCCTTCTGTACAGTTTCGTCACTTTGCGAAAGATGAAAAAATAACTTTTTAAATATGAGGAGCCTACTGTAGAGTTTCGTCACTTTGCGAATGATGCAATAAGCTCCTATTATTAGACAATCCAGTCAGAAATTGAGATCGAGCATCTAATAATTGACCATTAGTAACGCTAGCATATTGCATCAGTCACACTGATATTTAAAACACGTCAAATAATTTTTTTTTCGTGTTAAAGAAAAAAATCCTGTTCATTTGTGTCACTTTAGCGAATGACGAAATTTGCATCATTATTAACATGATGCTATTTGGCCGATGGCGCCTGTTAGTTTTAAGGAGCCAGGGGTCGTACGCCGCGCCTATGCGGTAGTGCAATCGGGGGGTGGGGGCCCTGAGAGCACCCCTCTACGTCCCTTACACATGGGTGGTCACCGAAGTCTGCTCCAGTGGCGTAGCGAGATCGGGTGTCACCCGGTGCGGCACTTAATGGTGTCACCCCCCCAGAGGCGTTGCGACCCTTCCCGGGGACAAACTTTCAAACTTTCGATTTGCACCCCCCTCAAGTTTTCGATTTGCACCCCCCCCCCCTCAAGTTTTTCTCTATATATTTTGCTATTTTTTGCCTTGGTGTCACCCCCCTAAATGGTGTCACCCGGTGCGGTCCGCACCCCCCGCCCCCCCCCCCCCCCCCTCGCTACGCCCCTGGTCTGTTCAACTATATTATTACGGTGAGTGATTAATGTACACTCAATGTTTTCATGCGGTAGTGTAGGTATACCCGTGTCCTGATATTTATTATCCAAGCGCAGGCATTGTTTACATTTAAATAAATAACTTTTAGAAAAGAAGGTCACGCGTCTAAGAACATATAATTGATAAAGCGTTGGTGAAGTCCTAATATATTTCGCCAAACTTACTTCTATCCCCGTGTGTGTGTGTGTGTGTGTGCTACTAGTATGATAATTAGTAACCATCTGAGCTATTCCTTTTTAACTTAGGCCCCATTCACTAGATGGGGTAGACAGTATTGTCAGATAAGTCACCCGAGCTAGTTAGGCTACTCTATGTAGATATGATTCAACAGTTGACCGGATCTGTGTCTACGATTTGAGTAGTGTTTAATTTCGTTGCCTCGCGTAGTGTCAATGACAATGTTGAATCAAACCTAGATCTACATTGTATTCATATTATTGCAAGTTTGAGGTAAAAATGTTTTCAAGGAAAACAGTAGAATGAACAAGCATTTGTGATATGGTCACCACAGGTTGTTATGCTACTAATTAAAAATGAAGTCTCTATGGTAGTATTAAGATACGTTCTTTGTCGAAATACAATATACAAATGCCAACCCCCACCAACCACTCTTTGTCGGGAATATTGTATTTATATAACACGTTGAATCCGTATTCAATTAAAACTTAAAATAGCAAGTTCGTTGCTATACTAGCACATACTAATTAACAGATCAGTATTTTAATTAGATGAAAGAAAGGTTTCACACTTTGATGTAATTATTTGTGTAGTTTCAAAGATAGATTCTAAAACAAATCAACTTATTATGAAGTAATTATAGTCAAGATTGTTTTAATTAATGTTTCGACCCAGATAGGATAGGTATTTGATCAGGTGATTAAAAATTTGATTAAAAAATAGACGTTGAATAAAATAATTTATTTAAATAAGGTAAATATCCAGATTTTAATTCCAACTTATTGTTGATAATTATGATGTTGATAATTACCGTGTTGTTAATTATCATTTCGATCGCCAATTAATACTCCTTGTGCTTCCAGCTTGAGTAATGTGAAAATCTCCTTCGCTATTGAACGCTGTTCGGCGTTAGCTTTAAACTTTTAATTATGTTTTATTAGCGGGGATGGGTTATATACTGCAGATAAAAAAAAGTTTTTCTTTTGAACCAGCATTCGAACTGCTATTAAAAACTTAGAGACGGTTAGTTTGTAATCTTATAGCACTTATAGCATTTAAAAAGCAACACTGCATCGTTATTTTAACTTGCTATTTATCTAATATTTAAAACACTGTTTAAAGAAAACCAAGTTTCAACAGTTTTAAAGTCCCACAACGTTATACGTTTATGTATGTGAAAATAATTTCTGAGTGCAACTTTCTAAATTCAAATTTTTAGTAATCTGTGTGAATGTGTATCCAACGAATTGTTTGATATGGAATCTCTTAATATAACCACTGTTGATTCGCCTCTGATAAGCGACGAACTCACACGTTACATCATAAGAATCCTCATGTTCATCGTCACCCCGACTATCGCTATATTCGGCATCACGGGAAACGTCATGAGCATCATAGTCCTCATCAAGCACGGCTTGCACAAATGCTCCAACATTTTACTGGTCGCCTTAGCCTTCTCCGACATCACGTACCTCATCTCCTTCAACAGCGTGCCTAAGATCTTCTACGAGGCGGTCAACGACCACGAGTTCCTCGGCTTCAACGTCCAAGAGGCGAGTGTCGTCTTCTTCTTCTTCAGCGTCTTCAACTTCCTGGACTACTCTGTTGGGTTGATGAGCCTCGTCTTGCCTATGCTGATTACAATTGAAAGACTCGTTGTGATATTTCTTCCTTTAAGTTTTAAACGCGTCATCACTCCTAAACGAACATGGATTGCTGTCATCTCACTTGAGGCTTATTTCTTCTCCATTTGCCTCTATACAACGTTTTGGTTTGAACTGGACTATACTACAGACACACGCAGAAACCTTTCTGTAGGTCTTATTAGAAGATCAACATTTTTCTACGAACATCTACCATCAGTCGAAATAATCCAAAATATTTTAGTTTATTCTAGTATAATCATCCCTCCAATTTTTACCGCTGTTGGTTGCATAATAATCTCAATAAAAATACAGATAACATCAACAAAACGAAGGAAACTAACTTCGAAATCTAAAAATAGCAACAGAACCACGCGCATGCTCCTGGCTGTATGCGCAGTCTACATATTCACGATAACCTTTCTCTCACTGCCGATATACATCCCCGAATACGCGTCATACTCTCTGACTGATGAAGCGCCCTCTAACGTCGGTAAACTGTTTTATCAACTTGTCAACATAGTGGGTTGTATCAACAGCTCTACTGACTTTATCGTCTATATTCTGCTCAACAAGAATTTTAGAGCCACCTACCAGGTAATGATGGGATGTCGTGAAAAAGTAAAAAGATAAACATATTCTACATCGGCATTAGGTATAATTCAATGTCTTAAATAAACCTATATGGAATACTTCAATCGAATTAGTTTTCGTTTCATGTATGCTTTGTTTTTTTTTAAATAAAAAAGTAAAAAGATAATCATACTCTGTTTCGGCATGATGTATAATTCAATATTAAAAAAAAAAACTATATGGAATACTTCAATCTAATTAGTAACGAGCTAAATTTTAATAAATGCGAAATCGTAAGCCAAGTTATGGTAATTACATTTTTATTTTCAGGTTAAGAATGAGCTTTCTTCGAAGTCTAAAGTATACCTGCAAAACGTCATTGTCTACATCTTCAATAAGCTATCTTTTACCTGCACATTTAAAAATAATCGTTTAAATTTTAAAATACCACTTTATTATGGTAAAGCAACGTTTGAGCTTAAGAGTTTATCTTCTTTTAAATTTGAAGGAATGCTATCGATTTGAATTACCTTTAATTATAATTGAATAGGAAGTTATCCTATATGTGTCGATACGTTTGATACATATTTATGTTTAATCTTCTAAATCCATCACGTTAATTAATTTTGTTCAGATTTTTAAAGAACATAAAAAATAGGGCTTTTTAAATTTGAATTTACAGTTTATTTCAAATTTTCGACTTCTTGGCCATCAAAGTACGAATGGACCTCATGGACGTTTGAGCTTAAGAGTTTATCTTCTTTTAAATTTGAAGGAATGCTATCGATTTGAATTACCTTTAATTATAATTGAATAGGAAGTTATCCTATATGTGTCGATACGTTTGATACATATTTATGTTTAATCTTCTAAATCCATCACGTTAATTAATTTTGTTCGGATTTTTAAAGAACATAAAAAATAGGGCTTTTTAAATTTGAATTTACAGTTTATTTCAAATTTTCGACTTCTTGGCCATCAAAGTACGAATGGACCTCATCAGTTGTTACAAGTGGTGCCAGAACTAATAGGGCAGCTGACCAATGTAGTTGCCCCTGTAATAAATTAAGTCAAAAGAAAATTGTTAAACAAAAATATCAATCTTTATTTCTTTATTTTTATTAAGTATTTTCAAATAAATCTTTAATAAAAATATTATCTTTTATCAAATGTAAATATCAAAATTGATTTTATATATATATATTATATATATATATATATATATATATATATATATATATATATATATATATATATATATATATATATATATATATATATATATATATATATTCATCATGTAACCAGGAGACGGTTTGTTTTGAGTTACTTATCGAGCGACAAGCCTATTTGAATAGGCCCACGTATTGTAAGACCAGAGTTGAACAAGTAACATGTTAAGTCACTGAACAGCCCTCAACTATCTATAAATAAACGTTTTCTTTCTGCTCAGTTGTGCCCTAGTTAGGGGTGTGTGAGACACCGTGTGTTCACAGGTTAGTGCTCACACTAGGCGGACGTTTACAGGCCACACACTCTCAGCCGACAGTCACACGTACGCACGCATACACACGCACACACACGCGCACACAGGCATATGCACACACACACACACACACACTTACTGAAACTGTTTACATTTATTGTCTTCTAATCGAAGACAACTATTGAAAACATTAGATTTTATAAGTTTAACTTATCAAAATGAATTAACTGTATAGTTACGGTGGGTAGTAAATAACTGTATCAAACGTAATGAAATGTGTATTTACGGTGGGTAGTAATTACATGAGACCAGATTGGGCATAGCTCCAGTAACATTGACGCACTGAGTGAAGGCACAACCGACCGAGGTTGATTTTTTCCACACCATCTGTCAACAATAAAATTTTACATCAATATGGTTACATCTTAACTTTTATAAAACTAACTGTACCAAAATATATTTACAAAGGGAATTAAAGAATCGTTTTTAGACCTAACGATGCATTGGGCAGCTGAAGTAGATTTCATACGTTTCTCTTCCCGGCATACGAATGGATAGTGTGGGTGTAGGACAAAAGGCCGACATCCAAAAGGCCGACAAGACAAAAGGCCGACATGGACAAAAGGCCAACATGGACAAAAGGCCGACAGCCAAAAGGCCGACAGGACATAAGGCCGACAGGACATAAAGCCGACAAAACCTCACCTGTAAATAGTGACCACATATTGGTGATTTTGTAATACACGACCATTTGGTGAAGTCGACCACATTGACCAGTTCACTTTTCCAGGCAGAAGCGCTCTTGTAGGCTATATCAGTGGCGTTTGAGCTGAGCGCTGGAAGCAGACAGGTTTTACACAAGTCAAAGTTCATTAATACAACCCAGCATCGGATAACATAAAGACCTTATAAAAAACAAATAGAAGTAAACTTGCAAATATAAATGTATTTTGTAACGCAGATTTGTGCATGCAAATCGACAGTTGGTTGCTATTTATTACATTATTGAGTTCACAAAGGCCATCTAACTTAATATATTAAGAAACGGTCAACTTACTAAGTATTTCAAGAAACGTTTATCTAACTAAATATATCAAGAAAAGGTCAAATTAATAAATATATCATCAGAGATCAATTTACTAAGTATATCAAGAAACTGTCAACCTACTAACATATCAAAAAAGGTCAACTTACTAGGGCTGGAATCTTGAGAACCGCCCTCACTTCGTTGTGAGATTTTAGAAACGCGTCAATGTTGGCAGTGGTCAGAGGCACGGACACACCGGCATAGGCCACAGCTAACATGGCGAGAAACAAGTGGATGGACTTCATTGTGGCTGGCTAAAGGAAAGGGAAGCTTAAGCTCTGAACAGCAAATCATGAAACCGTATGAATATAACGAAGAAAATAAGTAAGATTAAATTAGATAGTAATAGATTACTTGTAAAGTATTGTTGCAAAACTGCAAGGGTATGCAGTAGGGCCTTTATGGTTAACTAGAGTACCCGTCATCCATTGGATAACTGTGGGTTTCGGGGGTCATCCATCAAAAAACATCACGTCTGTCACTCAGAGGCACAGCGACCCTTCCCGGCGCCCGGGGACAAACTTTTCAATTTGAACTCACCCCCCCCCCCCGCAAGATTTCGATTTGCACCCCCCCCCCAAACTTTGATGTGCACCCCCCCCCTCAAGATTTTGATTTGAACCCCCCCCCCCCCACCCAAACTTTCGATTTGCACCCCCCTCAACCTTTCAATTTATTTTTCCAACCCATTTTGGCGCCTTCTAAGGTCGGCGCCCGGGGACATGTGTCCCCCCCCCCCCACCCCCTCCTCGCTACGCTACTGCAGTGTCACTTATCGTCACAAAAAACAGACCCCACATTCAAAAATATGTTTTTTATCTTTTAAATACACCGAAAACACCGATTTCGGACTATCCCTTCATATACTGACGTCACAGGTGACCTACTCAACTCTACTTCACCTGCCCAGTGTCCCGCCAAGTCTCAGACAACATGTTTTTATCGTTTAAAAAACAATTCCAGCCGAGCATGTCTCTGACCACACTATCCTTTCATATGCTTAGGACAAAGAAACAGATGAACTCTACTTCACCTGCCCAGTATCCTACCAAGTTCAGATAGGCAACTTCATCATTCACATCTAAAAAAAAAAAATTGAAAACAAAAATATCATTGACATTGGTCTAGAACCCGTGCCACTTGCATGAGAGCCGACTACTCTACCAACATAGCTATTTACTCGTGACGTCACAAGTGAATTTTTATACTATACTTTGAGTCTCGTTATGCAACTTTATTTACGCGAATAGATCTAGATCTAACTTCTAAGTCTAGTAGTAGTAACTTTCAAATTAAATTTCATCTTAAATTAGCCAAACAAAGATTTATATAAAATAAAGAAGGTCTGAAATTATCTAGATCTAGATAGAATTATCTAGATCTAGATTAGATTCTACGACTCGTTTGCTTAAGTCTTAAGTTTAGTTTTTCTGGTTAGATCTAGAATCTAGATCTAGATATAATCATTAGGCCCGGAGCGAGCATTTCAAAATTACCATATTCCAAACAAAGATTTATATAAAATAATAAAGGTCTAAAATAGTTTAGTATATAGAAAATCATTATTATCTAAATCTAGAAAGAAAATCATCTATATTTTAGATCTACGACTGAGCTATATTTAGAATTTACGTTTATAATTAAGCAAAATTACCGGCATCTAAGCCGCGTATGAATCTTAAGCTATACCAATAGGCCCGGGAGCGAGCATTTCAAAGTTACCATATTCCAAACAAAGATTTATACAAAATAGGAGCGAGCATTTCAAAGTTACCATATTCCAAACAAAGATTTATACAAAATAATAAAGGTCTAAAATAGTTTAGTATACAGAAACTCATTTTTATCTAAATCTAGATAGAATTATCTATATTCTAGATCTACGACTGGTTTGCTTAAGTCCCTTTTTTTTATTGTATTTATAACTAATAAATCTTTGATTTGACCTAGATTGTCCTAGATTCTAGATCTAGATCTATAAATAACTTTCTTGGACAGATTTTAGATCTAGAGAAATTTATCGTAAAACTAAATGAAAAAGACAGTTGAAAATTGATATAAGTGTTGGAACGTAATAAATACAGCAAACGGACAGAAAATTAGATTTAGAACGCGTTAAACTTTTGAATGGGAACACAATTTTCTTCGATAGACGCCGCCATTTTATTGTACTAAAGAGTAAACAAAAACCTGTGACGTCACTATTCCCACAAAGTTTAGTCAATGTTTTAACATTTTTTTAAAAAATGGGTTACTCTACGTATGAATAAATCAATAAATTAATTAACGTCTTTAAATAAATTTGTGATTAACAGTCTGTCTGCATTATAAAATTATTCTCTATCTACATACTATTTTACAGCTCTCCAGATAGAGTCGAACATATCACAATATTCGATCGGACAAACAAACAAAAAAATAAATATTCAAAAATGTAAACAAACTTGACTTTTAGTAGTATATAGATATAGATTAACACAACACTAC